ACATGATCAGACTTGCCACCCTCATGCTCCTGCACATATTTCTGCCAATCATTGGGTCCAGTGCTTGCTGAAACTTCATGCAGAGTTGTGAGGCTTTTTAGGGAAATAGGTTGGGAAGTCGGGGAAACAAAGACTATTACAAGATGCAAGTCCAGGATTAGTCCAGCAGTTCCAGGCCAGATTAACAAGGCCCAGTTGCTCAGTTAGTGGAAATCCAGGTTAGTTCAACAGCAAAGGCAAGTTTCTGGTTTCCTCAATCATCCAGCAAACTTTGTCTCAGAGCAATTATAATTCAGCTTTTCATTCAGTTATTCAGCAAGCCAGACCTTTAACTGTGGCCTTTATCTTCAGGGTTACTTTGGTTACACCTTGCCACAGTCTCTTCACAGCAATACCATAGTCTATCCAATCTCTCTCCCCCACTGCTTTTCACAGTGTGGAAAGTGCTCCCTTAGAATGGTCCCACAGCTGTTGATTTGCAAGACAATGTGCCTGCAGTTAAGGTAACTGGAGACCATGCCTCTAATGGTGGCTAATGCCAATGGCTAGAAAAGCCAGTTTTCAAGGGTTCTGATACCACAGTAGCATGTATACATTCCATATGACAGTTTCACATCTGCATTAGCAGGAAGAATCAATTAGATCATCAGCAGTCAGTCGATTAATTGATGTATTCATTTCATTCCTAATGGTTTACCCATTGAATGAATCATCTGCAGAGACTCTGAGCACATCAAAATTAAGCTTCCCACTCATGTCAGGGATTAGGTGCACGTTTCCATAATCTTTTCACCAAGAACTTTTGAGCACCACTTTGATGTCATATATATGAAAGCTTGAGAATGTGTTTGTCCCCATGGAGTATTTGATGGTGAATTGATAGGCATTAACTGACGAATTGCCTGTGCTTTGGAATAGATACAGCTATGGATATGGGTTGATGCCTTTGAGCTGTGGTGCTGGAGAAGAGTATTGAGAATACCATGGACTGCTAGGAAAACAAACAGATTCGTCCTGGAAAGGGTTAAACCGGGTGGCTCCTTGGAGGCAAGGATTCTGAGGCTCCGTCTAACATACTTTGGACATGTTGTGAGGAGAGACCGGTCCTTAGAGAGGGACATCATGCTTGGGAGGATGGAGGGACAGCTCAGGAGGGGAAGGCCCTCTATGAGGTGGATTGATTCAGTGCCTGGGATAATTGGGATGGGAGTGTCGGAGACAGTGCGATTGGCACAGAACAGAGCGGAGTTTAGGGCTGTTGTACATAGGGTCGCTATGAGTCTCAAGCAACTCGACGGCACATAACAACAACAACAACATGGATGTGGGTGCATGAAATATATGTATCTATATTAGAAGACCACCACCCCTCCCTACCCTGTATGCAGATCAGTTAAAGCCTCAGCTGGTGGAACTGAATTTTCAACTTGGATGGAGAAATTCCTGTGATGTTCCTCTGCTTCTGGGCCTACCAGAGAGTTGAGCAAGTCAGATGATACATGAATTACTGTACCAGATGTAGTGGGGGAGGGAAAGCCGAAAAATTCTTGGTTCTTGCCCTCAAGTATCCTGCAGTTCCCTCGGGACCCAGGGCATGTGTTGAGTGTGTGGCCTGACACATGCTCTGTTGCTAGGTGGTGGGACGACCCAGGGACACACTCTGGTCGGGGATGAGTGATGGGATAATTAGAACCGAGCAGACAGCGGGGTGGATGGTTTGTCTGCAGATAATAGCTTGTTTGCTAATTGCCAACACCAGATTTCCCAAGCAATTAGACATTTGGTTTCTTCCAAGGCCGTCTGTGCAAATGCGGACACATGGCTGCAGGCCTTCCAGGTAGCAGGTGGAGTGAGGCGCTCCCAGGTGCTGGATGCCATCTCTCGGTGGACTGCCCCAGGGGCCTAGGGCCGAGCTGGCCTCTGGTCTAAGGGCCACCTGGCAGCGCCCCCTACCGGAGCTGGGCTCCACCTTTGTTTATGAAAGGAGTTCCCTTGTAGTAGGAATTTAACCAGCATGTGTGGGTGGAGTTTAGCAGGCTGGCCTAACACCCAGTCCTTGCTGGTGTTGACGATTGCCAGTAAGTTGATTCCAAGTCATGGTCGTGACTCCAAGTCTGCAGAATAGAAGTGCATTCTGGGGGATTTTTCAAGGATTTGACCTTTCAGAAGCAAATCTCCAGGCCTTATTTCCCTGTTAAGTTGGGCTGGGTGGATTTGAACCCCTAATCTTTCTATCCATTGTCTAGCGCTTAACCAGTTGTACCGCTTTGCGGACTCGGGATTCAGTCTTATTTTTCAGAATTCTTTTCTCAAGAGCACTAGGCTGTGATGTTAATAGGAATTGGAAGGAGCTTTCTTTCTCTCAGAAGAGCGAGTTGATTTTCTGCCTCTGTAATTACCTGCTTATGCACCGCTCTGCCTGGGGTGGACTGGAGCCGTTTCAGGAGAGAGACCTGTCAGCAGGCGGGGGCGGGGTGGTGGTGGCTGCAGCAATTTGAGGCTTCACATTCACTCTTTCAAAATTCATTTTATTCTTGCAGTTCATTTAGTACCCACTGCAGTGATGCTGTTGCTGCCGGGTAGGGGGAGCGGAATCAGTAAGCACCCAGGATTAATCTCAGTGATTTGATGGAAGAGCAAAATAGAACCACCTTGAACAACCCCCTGAAAGGAGACAGGCCTTTCCTGCCACCACACGCCTCTGCATTTCACTCCTTGGATTGTTTTAGTAAATCCTGTTGTGTACCATTGAGTGGATTCCTACTTATAGTCATGCTGTTAGGCACAGAAGACCTGGCCCATAGAGTTCCTAGGAGGTAATCCTTATAAAAAGAGACTGTCATATCATTCTCGCATAGAGAAGCTCATGGGCTTGAACCCCTGACTTTTTTTGGTCAGCAAACCAAATGACTTAACCATTCTGCTGTCAAAGTTCATTCTTTAACAAATTACCCATTGTTCGTCCAGGTAGAGATTAGAATGTGCGCTCAGTGGGGAGTTTGTAGAGCACTCCATGCAGGCCCTTGTGTTTGTAGGCGCTTAAGGAGTTGGCGCTGCCAACCCAAAGGTGTGTGGTTCAAATCCACCAACTTCCCCATGGGAAAATCCCTTGTGTGATTTACAACCTCTGAACCCACTAGAGGGTCAGCCCTGAGTTAGTGCCAACTCTGGCACAAAACAGCAGTGTCTGTTGAAGGCGCTCTGGCAGCGTATCTGTAGGTAGGTGCGCAGTTAACGCAAAAGTTGCACCTGACGGCTCAAATCTATCAGCAGCTCCATAGAAAAATGATGGGCAGTCTCTTCCTGAGCGATTTACAGCCTCTGAAAGCCCATTGGAGGGTCAGCTATGACTCAGTTCTGACACGATGGCAATAAGTTTGCATTTTGTTTGAGTGTCTGTTCAAAAGGGAGCAGTTCGCAGAGCCACCCCTGCAGGTCCTGGCGTCTGTAGGTGCCCCTTTGTGAGACACTGGCTCCCTGGTGAGGGTGTGAACTGGGGTTCTTGGCTCTGCTCAATCTGCCCCTTGCAAGAGGCACTTTGGAGGCTTTGAGCTTTGCCCAGCACAGTGTGAGAAGTCTGTGGGCACTCATGCCTGGGACAGGCCACTGCACCCTGGCCGAGAGCAAACGTCTGTGGCTGAGTAATTGCAGGGACAGTATGGCAATCAACAACACAATGTGCTGGCCGCTGCTTGTCGGCCCCCCTCCTGTTTGACCTTGTGTCTTGGAGGGGCTCTGTCTGAGCTGCCTAGAAATGCTAATCTGATAGCTCTCTCTCTTGTTTATTTTTTCTTACTGAATATCAAGAAGCTTTGGTATCATTGAAGAGAGCTGCATTCACCAGGGGGGATGGATCCATCAGCCAAGGAAGCTCTTTCTGAAAGTCAAGTTCACACCCTGCTTCTTTAGAATTGTTGTTAGTTGATGTTCTGTCACCCTCAATCCCATGCACAGTGGGTCAGAATGCGGCCAAGCCCCACACCATCCACCGGGTCATTTCTAAATCACATTGTCGTGCTCCACAGCGTTCTCAGGAGCTGGTTTTTGGAAGTTGCTTGCCAGCCCTTTCTTCCTTGTCTAATTTAATCTGAACGTTCTGCTGAAACCTGTTCGCATTACAGCAACATGCAGACAGACCCCCACTGACAGACAAATCCCTCTGCAGGAGATGTACCAACTAGGACTCAGGCATGGCAGAGAATTCTGTCAGAGATCCACCAGTGAGGCTGTTTGCCTTTTGGAAGTTCTACTAGGGATGATAGAAGGAGAGTTGATGCCTTTGAGCTGTGGTGCTGGAGGAGTATTGAATATACCATGGACTGTTAGGAGAACAGATTTATCCTGGAGAGGGTGAAATCAGGCTGCTCCTTGGAGGCAGGGAGTCTGAGGCTTCGTCTGACATACTTTGGACATGTTACAAGGAGGGACCTGTCCTTGGAGAGGGATGTCGTGTTTGGTAGGGTGGAGGGACAGACAGCTCAGGAGAGGAAGATGCTCAATGAGATGGATTAATTCAGCGACTGGGGTAATCGGGATGGGTGTGTTGGAGACAGTGAGACTGGTGCGGGACAGAGCAGAGTTTAGGGCTGTTGTACATAGGGTCACTATGAGTCGCAGGTAACTTGACGGCACTTAACAACAATGACAACACCCGTTTGGGAAGATGAGGGCCTTGGAGTCTCCTCCCAGACGCTGTACAGGTCCTGGCAGGTGGTGACCACAGATAACTCTGACCCGTCATGGTGCCTGGGTTAAGAACTGCCTCAACAGAAGAGTGGCACCTCCCACTTAATGGTGTTGGCACAAGAGGAGCGTCTTACCCGACCTGTTGTAAATCCCAAATGCAAGGATGCTGGAAGAGACCCTAGCCTGTATGGTGGGCTTTGGCCTCGCCCACCACTTTAGCAGACTTTCTCAGACAGAGCCGCCCAGCCCCCTGCTCCGGGGTCAGCATGCGTCACTTCTAATGTGTCTGCTTATCTTTCTTTCCAGAAACGGCTCCCACCCCTGCATATTCCTCCCCAGCCCGGAGTCTGGGGGACACGGGGATAACGCCTCTGTCTCCCTCTCACATCGTGGTAAGAAATAAGGAGATGTGTGGAGGTGGGAGGGACGGTGCTGTCACAGGGGCCAGGCAGCCCTCACGCTCACGAGCAGAGATTAAAGGGCCGTCCCAGTCCCACGGTGGCCTGAAAGGGTTGACCTTGTTAATCTTGACGTAACCACAGCTCATGCCCGTGAGCACTCACCAAAGGCCACCCCCATTCTGAACGTCATGCATTTGTCACTTAAATTTTGGGTAGAAAGTGATAGAATAGATGCAGAAACAGACTTTGAGAACTGATTTTCCCAGGGAAGTGAGACTGGTCGTAAAACCTGGGCTGGATTCCACAGGCTGATAAGGCAGCATCGTTCTGACATAATAATCTGAAATTCAGAGGAGTGTGGGAACCCTTCTGGTTTCCTATAGATAGATAGTGTTGAGAACAGTGAGTTAGACCCCCAGGCCATTCCTGCATAGAAGCTCACGGTCAGCTGCAGGTCAGTGTTCCAGACCATGAGCCTTGGGTGGAGGGTGGCCCAGGCCAGCTGTACCTGTGTCCTTTGTCCCACTAGTGTGCGAGGGAACAGGTGCTCTCTGGTCTGCCTGATGATGACGGCGGACATTGCTCCACCTTCCTGTACCTGGACGTAGGCCTTCCCAGTCTGGCTGGGGCTTCTGTGGCTGTTGGGCTGGGTAGTGACATGAGCAGACAGGTGGTGCTGCCTTTTAAAGAACCAGGCTGAGAGGCCGGGCAGCCTGCAGTTGATGCAAAACGGCCGACTCTAGTCAGTCAGTGAGATTGGACCTCGTGATGATGGGGAATTTGCCACCTGTCCAGGGCTAGTGGCTGTGTAATTGCCCTGAATGATACAGTTTGCCAGGGAGACTTGTGCCAGGCATTGCCAGCCCTAGGGCGCTCTAGCTAGCTGGCTGTGGTTCCCGCTCTACTTTGGACTGTGAAATCAGGGGCTCTTGTGGGAGCTTCCCACGCAGCCAGCTCCAGGCGAGTGCCTGGAGGGGAGAGCAGACTCCAGAGGCTGCCTGGATCCCGAAGGAAGGGCCCCTGACAGCTGCAGAGTCACCAGTAGGAGGAGATGTCCCCACGTCCTGTTTTACCAGGACTGCCTTGTTTTGCCCTCAGAGTCTGGCACCTGGGAATGCCCCCCGTCCTGGGAGGAAGGTCACCTATCCACGGGTTCTTCCTGGTCGAGATTGAGTGATCACTTTGGGGTTCTTTGTTGGTGGGGGTCAGTGTGAGGAGATGCCAGGTGGCTGAGACTAGGCTCTCAAGTCTGCTTTATTTTACCAGTGTATGCCAAATCCGAAAGCTGGGTTTTAGAATTTGGAGGTCCATGGAGTTTTAAAAAAGAGAAGAAAACTGACATCACTTTAAAGCAAAGACTTGGAAGCCTGCCTAATCGCCTTACTAGACTGTCAGCACAAGGCTCTGGGGCCCATCGTACAGGCTGGCGCTGACCCTTTCCACTCACATAGAGTAAAAGAGGGACAGGCACAGATAAAGTACAGGTGCAAGACTGGTACAGGGACAAGTGCAGTATAGGGACAGGACAGGTCCAGGCACTCTTGGCTCCAAAGGACACAGGCTCTGGGTAGAGGCTGCGTGGAGACTGAGTACCTCAGGTACCACTGCACTTCCTGGCCCGTTGGTCAAGTGTCTGTCATTAGCCACACTCATGCCCAGGTGGTGAAGGAAGGGACAGGTGAGCTAAAGATAAGTGCCCTCGCCAAGTGAGCCTGACTCCTTATAGGCTGAGCAGCTCCCAGGAGGTTAGAGACCTTCCTGGGCCGCTCAGGATGAGGCTGAGGCTGCCTGGCCCCCTCCCCAGGACATACCATGTGACAGACTCGAACTGGGACAGTCCTTCTGTCTGTGGTGGGTGCATGACTGGGCAAGGTTATCTCCTGGGTAGGACATCCCCTGAAAGCCAGAGTCGGTTCCCTTCCACCCCCGACCCCCTCAACCTCACTCTCTGTCTCCACAGAACGACACTGATACCAACGTCTCCGAGGAGCAGACATACCTGGTGGTGGTCGCCATTGATTTTGGGACCACATCCAGTGGCTATGCGTACAGCTTCACCAAGGAACCAGAATGCATCCACGTGATGAGGTGATGCTGCAGGGGTGGGGGCATGGACACTGGACGGACTCTGGGGGAGGGCTGGAGCCCTGGGGGTGGACAGGCTCTCACCAATGAGCATGTCGTAGAATGTCACCCTGGGCTCTGGTCCAGCTCAGCCCAGACTCACTGTACCTATCTGGACAAGTTGTGCCTGACCTCTATGCTCCAAGTTCCTGGTCTGTAAAAGGTTGTTTTAATTCTGATGTCATTGGTCTAGGGTGAGACATGGGCAATGCTGTGTTTGAAACCCAGTACCTTGCGCCTCTCCCCACCTTCTGGTGATTCCCACATGCAGCCAGGGTCAAGGGCTCAGACCTAGAGAATGTCTGAGATGGAGATGACCTTGGCATCAGCTCGGCCACTTACTGTGTGATCATAGACAATTACTGTTAGCCTTCAATTTCCTTCCTCATCTGTGCAATGGGAATAATGAGAATACCTGCCTCTCAGGTACTTGTAAATGAAATGAGATTTCCTATTTTCAGGTAAATGAAATGAGATTTCCTATCTAGTGCTTACCTGTTGCTGTCGCATTGATTCTGATTCTTGATGATTCCATGTGGGTCTGCAAAGAACCGTCTTCAGCAGGACGTTTCTCCCCTAAGCTTTATTTATTTTGTTGTTCTTATTGAGAATACACATAGCGAAAAATCAGTTCAGCAGTTTCTGTGTGTGCAATTCAGCGACCCTGGGTGGTGCAGCCATTCTCACCCTCCTTGGCTGACTTCTTCTTCGCCATTAACATTAACTCTCTGCCCCTTAAGATTTCTGTCCAATTTTTTGAGTTGTTAATTTGAACCCATACTGATAGCATAATGCTCATAGCAGACCTTTATTTCTTGTTAGACTGAACTGTTATTCAGTTTTGAGATTTCAAAATGTATTTTTGGTTTAAGATTTAGAGACAATCTCGGGATAATAATTTCTTTTTTTTTTTTTTAAATTTTATTTTTGTGTGAGTGTACCGTCAAATCAGATCTGACTGGTACAGGAGGAGAATTGTCCCTCCTTTCCCGGCAGAGTATCTGGTGGATTCGAACCATGTACCTCTGGGATTGTAGTTGCAGCTCCTTGCCACTAGGCCACCAGAGCTCCCCCGGGATAATAATTTCATCTACCCTCTGTGGCTCCAGAAAGTCTGGAGTCCTTGAGAATTCAAAATTCTGTTCTGCATTTTTCTCCTTTTGACTAGAATTCTTTTAAGGTACCTTTGATCAAAATGTTCAGTAATGGCATGTTGGCACTCACCATTTCTTCTGGTCTTGTGGAGAAGGAGGCAGCTCCCCCTATTCCTGACTCTATTTCTCTGTTGCTCCAGGTGGACCAGAGACCCGTTGTAGTGCCCTGCATAGGCTCCACAGAGTTTTCAGCTGCCAATTTTTTAAAAAATTAGATTGCCACACCTTTCTTTCAAGGCTTCGCTGGGTGAACTCAGATATCCACCTTTTCTATCAGCAGCCACATGTATTTACAGTTTACATCACATAAGGAACACTCATCAAATACTTTTAAAAAAGAAAAAACAAAAACAACCACTGAAAAAAAAAGGGGGGGAAAAAAGAAAAACAAAACCCCCAAACTCCCTTCAGTCAAGTCTACTTGACTTTCCTGACTCACAGTATAGGAACTGAGCAGAAAGGCTCCCATGCCCCCACCCCCACCCCCGCCCCCGCCCCCGTTTTTGAGGCTATAAATCGTTAAACAAGCAGGTTAGTTTCCTCTGTGGAGTGGTTGCAGAGCTTGAACTGCCAGCCTTTTGGTTACCAACCTGATTCTTAGCTGCCAGCCACCTGGACTCGATGGCCCCACTCTGTTTTTATCCCACGTGGGGCTCTGTCTGGGTGGTGCATACAGAGTCGTGCTGCCAACCCGAATGAAGGCTTACCTCTCTGGGGGTTGAAGGCCACCAGCAGCTCTGCAGGAGAAGGATGGGCAGTCCCCTCTGTGTGTCTCATGGCGTGGAGACCGGATAGAAGGTCAGCTGTGAGTCAGTGCCGACTTAACAACGTTGCGTTTGAGGTTTGCTTTTCTTTTTTTAAGTTCTGGAGCTTTGTGCTTTTGGGTCCTGTCATTCATGGTTTTTCTTCATTTGAATTATCACTGTTCATGCTCACAGTTTACTATTCATAAGCACTGCACTTATGCATAATGCAAACAACAAATGTGATAATTCTTAGAAATGAAAAAAGCCGTGAGTGAAGGTCACTGGAAAGGGAAAGCATCATAAAAGCTGCCTGGTTTGCATCGCAGCAAGTGAACCCCAAAAGCACCGTGGTGTGGGGGTTTCCAGAGATTCACTCTGCTTGAGGCACTCCCTCCTCCCAACGCACAGAATGCCCGTGCCCCACTCCACCCCATCCACTATGAACAGATGTAAATGTGGAGTTCCCGTCTACCGAGCCACCACACATGGGCTCTCCCAGAATGCCCCATGGCTTTCCTGCATAGAGTCTCCTGCCCCTCCAAGCTCTGGAAGCAGAGATTTATCACCTCAATTTCCCATTTCAAATGATGCCTCTGAAAATGTGTCATAATTGACTTTGCAGTTCTTCCGCCCAAGTGCTTGTGTAATTGAGTTATAGCTCCCAGAATCAGATTTTAGGTGCTTTGGTAAAGTGCTGTTTAAAAGCCAAGTCTTAGCAGCAGTGATCCCAGTCCTGGGGAGGCCCCCCCACCTCCAGGAAACCGGTAAGACCCGGCCTGAGGCCCTTGAGAGATGCTCCAGGGCCACGGCACTGCCCTCTCTTCAGGAAATCATGAAAGCGGCTCCTTCAGAGAAGCCAGTGACTGCGAAGCCCTGGGTACTCAGCTGACAGGAAGCTTTGAGGGTTTGCTCTGCTGTCACTGTCCCAGGAGACGGGGAACATGTGTGGAAAAGAGCCCTCCATTAAAAGCCCGATGCAGTGTTTCCTAGTTTCTAGGACAAACCGAAGGATAATCACGCAAAGGAAATAGAAGAGAGGCAGAAGAGCTTTGAACTTGCTTTGGGAGGGGAAACTTAAAGAGCCTCACCAGAGTTCAAGGCTGATGGAGATGTGATCTTAATTATAATAGAGATATCAGAGAGAAGTCATCCCTGAATTCTATTTCCATCAAAAGATGCTAATGGAACCATGATACAAACTGGCAAAGCTATGAGGATGGAACAAAGCTGTGAGTGAGAAAGCTAGTATATAAATTGTTGTTAGGTACTATCGAGTCAGAACTGACCCACGGCTGACCCTCCAGCATGTTTTCAGAGGCAGTAAATCACGCTGGAGGAGACTGCCCACTTTTTCTTTGCGGAGCAGCTGTGGATGAGAACCACATACCTTCAGGTTGTCTGCACAGCTCCTTGCCATAGGCCACCAGAGCTCCCGTGTGTATAAATAAGAAGGGGCAAACATAGGCAGGGTATGTGCTCATGTCATTGTGAATAATGAAAAGCTCATTTGAATGATAGGATGTGGATGTGGAGTCCTGGGGAGTCTAAGCGCGTCAACCCACCCACGGGGGCATTCCTGGCTGTCTTCTCCTGTAGAGGTCCTCATTCTCAAAAGTTAATTGCACAAAACAATTCTGAGATACTATTTCGCCCCAGTAAAGAGAGCAAAATTTAACAGAACAACAAATATCAAATGCTGATGAGATTGTGGAGAAACTGGAACCCTTATTCACTGTTGGTGGGAGTGTAAAATGGTGCAGCCACTGTGGAAGGCGGTATGGTGCTTTATAAAAAAGTTGGAAATAGAAGTACCATTTGACCCAACAATTCCACTACTGGGACTTTACCCTAAAGAGACCATAATCTCAACCCAAGCAGATATATGCACACCCATGGTTATTGCTGCATTGTTCACAATAGCAAAGAGCTGAAAAAAAAACAACAGGTGCCCATCAACAAATGAATGGATTGAGAAGCTGTGGTATAGTCACACAATGGAATTAGTATTCCATTCGCTGCATTGAAAAGCAAGGAACTCATGAAATATTATGCAAAATGGATGACCCTGGAGGACATCTCAGTCACAAAAGGATAAATACTGCATAGTGCCACTGTTGTAAAATGGGACTGACATAGGGGTTGGGGGGGAGACTGAGAAAGATGGGATAAATTATGTATACTGCATTGAAACAGATGAGGGAGAGAAAGAACTGTTTAAAAGGGACATATGATTGGGTATTATTGTCATGACAGGAGTCCAGAATGAAGGCTGCACAGTAGAGTGGACTTGAGGGGAGGGATTGCATAATTATGAGTTTTACTTTTCAAGTGGAGTGGATTGGGGAGGAGAGGATAAGCAGGGAGGAAAATGAAACAATGAATGGAATCCCTAAGTCTCTGTAAACTTTCATTAAAATTAATTTTAAAAAAAGGTGAGTACAGTAAAAAAAAAAAGTTCATTGTTATCAAATCAGAACTGACTCGCGGCTGAGCCTCCATTGGGTTTCCGGTGCTATAACTTGTGCAGGAGAAGATTGCCCATGTCTCTCGCCCCGGAATTTCTGGTGGATTCGGGCCGCCAGAGAGGCCTCTTTGGGTTAGCGCTGTGGCTCCCGTGGACCATGCCACCAGAAAGATAACTGTCTAGAAAACCCTAGGCGCTGTCCCCTGGGGCCAACTCTGCGTTGAAGTAGACTCGACAGCACCTAACACACTCCCAGTCTGTCGTCAGCTTGTCCCTTACCCCTTTTTAAAGAACAGGGTTCCCTTCTGAGCTTTAGAGAGCGTTGCAACCTATTTCATGTCTCTGAGCTAGAGGTGACTCGATGTTAGTGGGTTGGGTTTGAGTGTAGTGTGAATTGAAATAAAGCAGATGGCAGCAGGGCCAGTGTTTTTGGTTCGGGCCAATACGCATTACAACCAAAATAACACACAAAATTGGTTTTGTGGAAAAGATAATTTTTTAAAAAAGGCAACCTAGTTTGGCTCCTTTAGTTGATGGTACAAAGGTTAACTTGCTTGCCAGCTAAATCAAAGGTTAGGAGTCTCTAGTTGTCCCAGAAGCAACTTGGCAGAACAGTCTGGCAATGTACTTCCAACAGATCAGCTGTTTGGGGCAGGGTCTGTGGAGTGCTGTTCTCCTCTGACTCCCTTCGGGTTGCCTGAGTTGGAATCAACTTCACATAATGGACTGTATCTGTTGATGCAAGGATTATAAGAGTATCTAATTAATCAGGGAGCTCCGATGTTTTAGTGGTAAGGAGATGCACTGTCAACCCAAAGGCATACGGTTCAAATCCAGCAGCTGCTTTAGCGGAGAAGGGTGGGCAGTCTCTTCCCATGTGGTTAACTGCCTCTAAAAACTCACTGTAAATCAGCATTGAGTCAATTCCTACTTGACAGTACATAACAACAACAGCAACAGTTACTAAGTGAAAGGTACCAGGCATTTTATGTGTAGTTTATGTTGTTATGTCCTGTCTGGTCGGATCTGACTCATAGCTGACCCTCCAGTGAGTTTTCTGAGGTAGTAGCTTGTATGGGAGGAGATGGCCCGTCTTTCTCATTTGGAGCAGTTGGTAGATTCGAAGTGTGTGCCTTTGGGGTTGCAGTGCAGCTCCGTGCCTGTACAGGCAGATCCCCTGCCCGGTGGTGCACCGTTCTGCTCTGACACACAGGGTTGCCTGGTGTCAGGATCCAGTCAGTAGCAACTGGTGACTAGGTTATGGGTCCATCGAAAGCAGAAACAGGGCTCCTCTGTCCCCCTGTCACTCACACCTGGCACACAGTAGATGCTCATGGACTAGCCAGTGAGAGAATCAAGGCAGGCCTTGGTTATGGAGCCACGACTGGGGCCAGGTCCATTTAGGTTCCTTTGGAACTATGGTTGCGCCTTGAACCACTCAGAACATGCCTGGCCAGTTGCATCTGCTGCAGCTCCCCGAGTACCCCATTTATAGTGCTCATGCATGCAGAAGGTGCCCGGGTCAGTGCTGCTAGGTAGCAAGGGTCTTATAACCTCTGTCTTTTTTTTGTTTTTTTGGCGATAGGCGATGGGAAGGTGGGGACCCGGGTGTGTCCAACCAGAAGACTCCAACCACCATCCTGTTGACGCCGGAGAGGAAGTTCCACAGCTTCGGCTATGCTGCCAGGGACTTCTACCATGACCTGGACCCCAACGAGGCCAAGCAGTGGCTGTACTTGGAGAAGTTCAAGATGAAGCTGCACACCACTGGGGTGAGCGAGCCTCCACTCTGTCCCCAGGTGCCCACCCTGGAGAGCCAAGGATCCTCCAGGCCTGGGCGTGCTGTCCAACTCAGGGGTCCTGAAGCATCTCCTAACCAGAGAGCCCTGACCGCTTATTTAAATTTGGACACAACCAGGAGTGCACACACTTGATGGCTACACAGCACCTTCTGATGTCTGTGTGCACGGGGAGACAGGCAGCATGTTTGACAGCTTTCAGGGCACAGAAACTAACTGGTCAGTGCTGACCTTGACTGTCGCACGGGAGCAGGGTGGTGGGGACACCCCATTGTGTAGAAGTTACTCCCTTACTTGCTGGATTGTTTGGACATCAGGGTCCTGAAGGAGGGATGTGGGACCTGGGGACACCTGGGAGTAGTGTCCATTAACTGGAAAGTCTGAATGTAATACCTGGTAAGCACCTGGGTACCAACCCTCTGTGTGGGGAAAGGCTGCCTCGGGAAATCAAATGTCCAGTAATTGGAGGTCAGCCCCCAAAGCTGTACCCTCAGTTCTGTATAGCAAGCCCCAGTGTCCCCTTTGTCCAGTGTTCCCTAAGTTGTACTGGGGTGTCTGATGTCAGTGAGTGAACAAGCTAAGTCAGAGCCCCATGCACAGCTTCAGAGAACAGGTAAAGACTATAGAATTTTGTCAATTTAAGCATTTTAACCCACAAATTTCCCTTAACTTTCAGTACTTAGAATGGGAAATAGAGGGTTGAAGATCCTGGCCCTTTTAACTACTTAGCTTTGGTTTAAATCCTGCCCCTACCTTCACAGTTTTGGAAGCAGGAGTGGCATCCACTTCCTAAACAACATGCCTCCGGAAACCCTATGAACTTTGATAAATGCCGATAGTTGTAGAGGGGCTTCAGGCCTTTTGTTCACTGGGTCACTATGAGTCGTGCTCAACTCAAAGGTAATCGACAACAACCACCACCACCTTCAAAGTACTTAATCCAAATTACTCAGCCTGTCTGTGCATTGGTTTTCTTTACCTGTCAAATGGAGTAAGGAGTCCTGGTGGTGTGGTGGATTACATGCTGGGCTGTTAGCCGTAAAGGTTGGTAGTTTGAAGCCAGCAGGCACAGTGAAGGATGAGAATGGGCCATGCCCTCCGGTCAAGGTCACAACCTCAGAGACCTGATGGATATCATCATGGGTCAGAACTAAGTCGGTGGTGGGTTTGGGCTTTTTGAAAACAGAGGAGTGATGGTGCCTTGCCCTTGACACCTGGTAAGCACCCCAGTGAAGCAGGGCCTAGGTCTTGTTATTACATGTGTCTGCTATCAGTTGCTGCAGATGTCAAAACACATCTCAGTGGGAAGCTTTGCCGTAGCCCCGGCTTGCGTGGCTCTCAGCTCATCCACGTGGCTCCCTTCCATCCAGTCCCCCTTCTGCTGGGTCCCAATCACTCCCATTTCCCCTGATGGAATTCAGGGCTGGCTATCAGTGCAGCACAGACTTCCCCTCAGGACCGGGCCTTCCTGGTGGTGTGGGTCCCCTTCTGAGCGTGGGAGCGGCAGGGCAGCGGCTCGCAGCAGGGTTGGGAGGTGGCTGGATAGATGCAGATACATCACGAGGATGGCTGCAGACTGTGAGGCCGGGGTTGGTAATCCAGTGCCCCTGCACAGTCCAGAGATGACACAAAGTCCCCAGCCTGGGTCAATCTGGCCCTCTCACTGACTTTTCCTGGCAGTAATAAGCTGCTTGGTTCTGGGAGATTGGGGGTGAGGGAGCTTCCACTCTCTGCCCCCACCATCCTCTGGGGACTGCCCTCATCACTTTTTAACGCCCTCTGGTCACGCGGCACCTGGGTTCTCAGCGAGCACCCTGCATCCGAGGACCGCGCTCAGCAGCTGCTCCCCCTCCTGGCAGCGAGCGAGGGCAGTGACGCTGGGCTCCCGGGGGACGAGGCAGCGCCAGTGTGGGGTTATTTTGGTTACTTGGCTGGCAGCTCATCGAGGGATGAAAGCTTCATGTCTGTTTAGCATCACACACAGCAGCGAGTCGGCTGATTTCAGCCTCCATTCGAAGGCTCCCAAGGGTGACCTTGTCTGCAAATTGTATGTAGATTGCTTCGGGGGTGCTGTCTGCTTCCTTTTCCCTGGTGCCATCATTAACCCCAAACCTCTGCTTCAGGAGCATCCAGAAGAGACAGGAAGAGAGGGAGGGTGGCGGTGGGGCCCACAGGGCAGTCTCCTCTGCAGTTGGGGACACGCTTACCAGGCCCTTTTTAGGGGGACACACCATCCTAGTCTGCTCCTCAAATGTCAGGAAATATAAGTATGTTCCCTTGATTCCACAGACCCCAAGTGGTGGTGGTGTTTTTTACCACTGAGTCAGAAATGACCCAATGCTTCCCCCTTGCTCCCCCAGTAAAAACCAGCAAATTTCACAGGAGATTCCCTGCCTTTTTCCCTCAGAGCAGCTGATGGATTCAAACTGTGTGCCTTAGGATCGACGGAGCAGCTTCTTACCACTAGATCACCGGGTTGTTGGGTACCATCAAGTCAACTCCGAGGCGTAGATGACCCTCCAGCGGGTTTTTAGAGACAGTAAATCACATAGGAGGCGATTGTCCATCCTTCTTCCACAGAGCAAATGTTAGATTTGAACCACGTGCCTTTGGGGATGGTAGTGCAGTTTTTTTACCATGAGGCCAGCAGAGCCTCAGGTCTTCAAGTTGTTGTTGTTGTGTACCGTTGAGTCAGAGCTTACCCCTAGCTGACCCTCCACGGGTTTTCAGAGGCAGTTAATTGCACAGGAAGAGACTTCCCATCCTTCAGCAGAGCAGCTCGTGGCCTCGAACTGCGTGCCTTCAGGATTGCCGTGCCACTTCTTGCCACTAGGCCACCAGAACTCCAAGTAGCAGCCCCTAAAGCCAGAAGTCAAGCATCTATGCATCAAACAGCTCTCTTTCTCTCCTTCACTGTCATACCTTTCCCACCTTTAGGACCTCACCATGGAGACAGACCTGACTGCGGCAAATGGCAAGAAAGTCAAAGCCCTGGAAATCTTCGCTTACGCCCTGCAGTACTTCAAGGAGCAGGCCCTGAAGGTAGGACCTCTGACGTGCATGGGGTCGTGGTGGGTCTGAGTCGACTCGACCGCTGACTGGGCCTTTAACTCGGTTAGGTTCTTTACAGGAGGGCTGGGTGATGGTTGAGAGATTACGAGGTCAACAGAAGGGAGAGTTTACAGCACACCTGACCAGCACAGACTGAAGTCAGAATATCTCAGAAGCCACTGTAAATGAAGCAGTCATGCAGAAAAAGAAATGGAATTGCGTGATGTAGAATGATGAGAATAAAATGACCCGTTGCCCTCTAGCTGATTCTGACTCATAGTGACCCCGCAGGACAGGGCAGAATGGCCCGAGTTTCCAGTGCTGTAATGTTTTACAGACACAGATTGCCTCATTCTTCCCTCGTGGAGCCGCTGATGGGTTTGAACTGCTGACCTTTCAGTTCACATCCAAGCACTTGTCAGGTCCCTTTCCCTTCGAACCTGTTTTCTATCCACTGGTGAAGGAACAGTCCTGGTGGTGCAGTGCATAACATAATTGGATTCTAACCTAAAGATTGGGGTTCAGGGCCATCAGTTACCACACAGGAGAAAGGTGAACAGTCTCTTCCCCCAAATATTTCAGCCTCAGAAACCCGATGGAGGGTTGTGGGAGTTGAACTTGACTCACTGGCAGTGAGATTTTTGGGTTTTGGTAGAGCAGCTTCTAAACAACTCTCCCTACAGCCCAAGGAAGAGCTTCATTCACATTTTAAGTCCTTTTTTTGCTGAAAGAGCTTTAAATAGCTTGATGCTAATGGCGCCATGCTTGGAACAGCTCCCAAAACCTGTCACAGTGCACCTACTTTCAAAGCCCAATGCTGACCTGCAAGGAAATAAAAACAGGTGATAAAAAGGAACATTTGCTTCATGGGGGCCGCAAGCAGAGATGCTTTTAAAAGAAACTGTTAAAAATGTTTACTGGTCAAAGAGGAAGCTGATTCAGTGAGAAGGCAGGTCAGAATGAAGATGACTATTTGAAATGATAGGTAAGATGAGCTGTGCGACAGAAACAAAGCAGAACTATCTATTCTCATCCCGGGAATCTTCTAGGAGGCCTGGTGGCTCAGTGAGGCAGACGCTGGACTGCTAATGGGAAGGTTGGCAGTTCAAGGCCGCCAGCTGTCCCTCACTCCTCAGGTGGCTAAGAGTCAGAGACCACTCACAGCTGTGGGCTTGGTTTTTGTGGTTTTACGAACCCTCAAAAATATGTCCACAGCACTGATTTTGCTGCCTAAGTACATAAATGTGCATTTAGATGTACTTTTATGTGGTGAATGTGGCAACAGGAGGGGAAAAAAGGAGAAAGAAATAGTAATCATTGGGTGAGGCTCTGGGCTCCGTGCCCCACATGTGTTCTTGTATAATCTTGCCACAATGGTGTGAATTAGGTTATTATTCCCATTTTACAGATGGGGATACTGAGGTCAGAGACCATTCCAATGGTTCCATTTTCCTACATGAACTCTGATGATTCTAGAATCACCCCGCCCTTTGGCCAGGATGTCTATATTCTTCCAGTTCTAGCAGGAAGACTCCCCTGACAGACCAGAGTTGTGGTGAGGTTGGAGACAAGGACAAAAACAGTAGTTGCCACCAGTGTGTAACTAATACTCTGGACCAGGCCCTCTTCTAGATCGAAGGCCACATGTAATAACTAAGGCCCTGGCTTTAAGAGACAACATTAACTTAATCTGTGTCTAAATGTTGCCTCTGCTGCATTCAAACTGTCACAAAGGTCCTGGCATGTTTAAACCTCCGTTTTCCCACCCGCGAAAAAGAGCCAAAGTTACAGTGTCCTTCCTGATGGGTGGTGGTGGACACATCCACTCTCAGTCCATGGGACTGTCAGTACTCAGATCATCAGCAGTCCCCACAGCAATCGTAGGAGCAAGGTGGCATTATTATTATTGTTGTTATTGCCCCCATTGTATTGATAAGGAAACTGAGGTCTGAGGAGCTCTTGTTCACCCAGAGTTACATGGCTGGCAGTGGTCAAAGTCACATAGCTGGAAAACAGTCAAGGCCACATGACGAATTCGTGGCCTGAGGAGTTTCTTCTGCCCTGTCCACCTCAGTGAGCGCAGGGCCACCGGGGCCACCATGATTTGGACATTCAGGAAGAGACTCTTCCTGCCTGACTCAGGGAGGCTCAGGGGCACCACGACAGGAATGTCCTTGAAGATGAGCTGTGCCTTTTCCTTGCTTTCAGGAGCTCAGTGACCAGGCGGGTTCAGACTTCGAGAACTCTGACGTCAGGTGGGTCATCACGGTACCGGCCATCTGGAAGCAGCCGGCCAAGCAGTTCATGAGACAAGCGGCGTACCAGGTGAGCGGGGTGGGGGCGGGGGGCCCACGGGGTGGCGGGCAGAGTAAGGTGCAAGGGGTGGGAGGACCCAAGTGTCCTCTCGTGGCATCTGGCCCCTGCTTGGCTTTATCCCGTGATGGTGGCAGTAACTCCACTCACATTGTCTGCAGCACCCACAGGTCCGGCCAGGTAGTCAGGAGGCCCCCAGAGGCAGGGAGACAAGCCTGGGTATGCCTCTGCTGCTCTGGAGAGTGGGGGGGTATAGGGCCCGGCAGGTGAGGAGACTCTGCTGAGTTTTCCTCTATCTTCACACATGTTCCAGATTGTGTTCCACTGTCGAGTCTCTGGGGCTGGGATTGAGGCTCACGGGCTGTTGGCCATGAGCAGATGGAAGTGAGGATATGAAGGAAGAGACTGGGGAGAAGGGACCGTTTGAATAAGAAGAAAACTAGGTCAAGTTCATCCACCACAGACCAGGCAAGGAACTTGGTGTGGCAGTTGGAAGTCACCGCTCTGCTGCTGGGAATAAGGGAAATAGGATTGACCTCTCAGGCATCGCTGCAGGGGGAGCCCAGATGGACGTGGAGGGTCACCGGGAGGCCACCCGGGTGAGGGCAGGGGTGTCAGCCACAGACATAGAACCTTCCAGTGCCAATGGCAGCTCATGCCTGTGAGGCCAGGGCCCCGTTGGCACCACCCAGCCCCAGGCCTCCGGCATGCACACATGGCACAGCCACGTGCAGACCACTTTGGAAGAGGAGCTGGCTTTGTGGCAAGCGTGGCCTGTGTGGTGTGAGAGCAGTGCTTGTCATACAGAGTCTGGGGCGAATGTGGGTTCCCGCTGGAGCCTGGGCCACTCTGGGTGCTAATGGTCAGTGATATGAGCCTTCAACTCGAGGCTTGAAGGGGGTGATCAGGTCGTGGGCGGCTCTCCCTTTTGGCCTGAAAGGAAGACAGCCTGTCCACCTTACCCAGGGGATGTAATCTCCCTGGGAACCCTTGACATGCAGCCAGTAAAGCATTCAGCTGCCAGTGGAAAAGACTGGATGTTCAAGTCCATCGAGCTACTCCTCGAGACCTGACCGTCTGCCTCTGTAAAGATCACAGTCCAGCAGGCTGTGAGGGACATCCCAGTTCTGTCACATGGAGTCACCAAGAGTGGAGAATAGATTCGACATCATAACCCTGACATTGAGTTTATGGTCAGCTGAGCCTTTTCTTTCTAAAACATGCGCAGAATCGATCCTGAGAACTGGACAGTGTGGTACAAGGGGCTTGGGAGCTGTGTTTGGCACCCAGCACTTTGTTCTACAGGCTGAGTTTAATGTGTGTTCGGCAGAGGAAGGTGGCGTGGATTGAATCATATATTTAAAAAATATGAATATAAGTTAGAATTCTAACTCCTACATCTGTGGATGGAACCCATTGGAAAGTGAGGTTCTCTGTTGTGTTAACCAGGCCGTTATCGGGTGTATTTTTAACCTGTTCACTTTGGGGTTGTAGAAAGGGCAGATTGAGGAGAGAGAAACCGAAGCCCAAGCCCATTGCTGTCAAGTCATTCCAACTCGCGGCAACCTTCCTTCGAATTTTCCAGGTTCTGAATCTTCCCAGGAGACTGCCCATCTTTTTCCTGCAGAGCCGCTGGTAGATTGAAAAGCACTGACCTTTTGGTTAGCAGTGCAACTAAGAAAAACAAACATAAGTGGGAGAAAGATCGATGCCCAAGTGCCAGGGGGGAATTGCTAAGGAACCCAGGAGTAACAGGGCCAGACAAACTTGACAGGAGTGTCCCCAGCATTGAGAGAGACACAGAGAGAGAGCGTTTGTCTAGAGCTGGCATTCTGAATTGGGACTTTTAGACTCTTCGACTGTAAGAAGATAAATTTCTGTTTGTTAAAGCCACCCACTTGTGGTATTTCTGTTAAAGCAACTCTAGGGAGCTCAGCCAAGGAGCACACCCCTTCCCTCCCTCCCCAGGCCTTCTCTCTTCTCCCTGTTCAGTGCAGAGCGTGAGAACCTGGCTTCATACATATCTGCCAAAAATAGATGAGCTTTTATGGGGCTGAGGGAAGAGGGTGGAAGTTCCAGAAGGAGGCGAGTTCTTTAAAAAGGAAGGAAGATGCTGCAGGTGAGCTGTCCACACAGAAGCCCTGGGCCTCAGGGAGCATCTTCTAAGGATGCCTCTTCATGGTCTCCACCCTCTCGCAGGGCTCAGGGTAGGCAAGGAGGACACAGCGGGCAGCAGCAACACGGCTGATGCTCTTAGTGTTTCCCCAGGAAGTATATTCAAGATTCACGCTCTAAGCTTTCATTTTCCAGCCTACAGGGAGGCTTTAGCAAACACGTGACCCACGGAAGGGTCAACTTTATTTTTAGCTTGGAAAAGAAGGCAGTGCTCTGAGGGGTCAGTTTGTCTGCTTGCCAGAGCCCTGGGCCAACCCCTGTCCAAGTGGTTAGGGGCCAGAAGAAGGGGCAGCCCCTGACACGGGGGACCCTGAGCAGGAAACCAAGAAGAGGTGCAGAAGTGGCCTGCGTGGATGTGGGATTAGCTTTCTGAAAGCCGAAGTGATTCTGCAGACAGGGCTGGACCTCGCCACGCCGCTGACCCTCGTCTGCCGCTGTGTTTGTGCAGCTGCTTTTCTGAGTCTTTGTATTTCTTGTTGGATGCCTGTGTTCCATTTACCATCACAGAAGGGAGTGAAAGATGCAGGGAGCTCTCAGCAATGCATTGATTCACTCGCTCGGTTATTCCTTCAACAGACCCACCCTGAGCTCTCTATCTTCTTGTCTTTCTATGTGGGAGATCTGAGTTCGATTTCCAGCCAGTGCACCCAGGGCTGGCTTGCCCAATTAGCAAGCTGTGTGCAGGTCAGATTGCGCCTACCTATTGAACTACAGTGCACGATTTCACCGTCCCCCGCGATGTCAGAGGCGTGCTGAACCCCAGGTGGAGTTGCTTGCCACCGATTAGCAAGCCAACACAGTTCAGTGCGTTATCACCCTGCTCAGTGCAGACTGGCACACACCATGGCGACTGCCTAGTCCCTCCCCGAACACACCTCATGCATGGCCAGCCACCACCTGTCCATCAGTGGAGACTTGCATGTGGCTGTGAAGTTGAACAGAATTCAGCAGGTTGAGCTGGTAGAGGAAGAAAGGACTGGCAATTCCTCTCCAAAGATAAGCCAGTGGAAACTCTGTGGATCATGGTGAACCAATCTGCAACAGGTCGTGCTGTGGATCACAGTGGACCAAACAGTGGACAGTGGTCATGGGGATGGTGTTGGACTGGGCAGCGTTTTCATTCTGTTGTGGAAGGCATCTGAGAGGAAACTATCTTTTATCTTCTGTGGGCCAGCCAGGCACTGGGGCGGGGGCTCAGTTAGCATCCACGAACAAGACCTTGATCTTGAGTTGCCCTCAGCCGAGCCTCTGTTACTCTGGGCAGTTGCGGGTGGGGGTCTGCAGGGGTCAAGCGGGGGGCCGTTGTCTTTAATGGCTTCATTGCATTTTCTAGAAGTCCTCAGGACCAAAAGGAAACAACACTTGTTACCCTGTGGCCAAAATGAGATATTTTCTCTCCCACCAGAATCTTAGTGGCACAGTGGTTAAAGCAGTCATCTGCTAACCAGAAGGTTGGCAGTTCAAACCCACCTGCTGCTCCACAGGAGAAAGATGTGGCAGTCCATCCTCCTAAAGGTTGCAGTCTTAGAAACACCGTGAGGCAGTTCTGCTCTGTCCACTAGGGGTCACTGTAAGTGAGAATCTACTCGATGGCATTTGGTATTTAAATGGACTTCTCCCACCAGGTCCATACATTACAAAGAATAAGAAAGATTGGTATCTGAGCAGATAACACAGTTCTTGGGCCAGCCAGCTTCTGGGCATCCTCACTGGGCACCACTAGCTTCCTGCTGTTTGTCAGACAGCATTTGTTTCCTTCTGCGAGGTGGTAACTGGCCACCAGCGTTCCACCCCAAGTGCATCTCACTGGCCTGTGTCCAATCAGAAGTGCCTGGAGAATGAGGTGGGAAGGTTGCTCCTCTGGCCAGTTGGGAAGTTGCTCTTGTCCGCCTTATTCACACGTGAGCAAGGGGCCTCTCCCTCTAGCTTGGAGGAGAACACGTATGTTCAGAGTGTCTGGAGGAGGAGAAAGAGGCTTACGTGCAGGGCTGAGAGAGGAGGCCTGGACACAGCGCTAAGAGAGGCGGCCAGGACACAATGCTGAGAGGTGTGAAGCCTCTACTGTCGGAGGACACTGGTGCGGAGTGCCCGAGTGCTGGGCCTTCCTCTTGGACACCGGGAGCTCTGCTCCTAAGAACCTCACACACAGTCCCACTGCCAGCTCCGTTTGGGGCCACTGCTGGTGGAAGAAATGGGCTCCATTGCTGTCTTTACCACCCCCAGACATGGGGCACCTCAGAGCCTTAAAGAACGCTCAGTCTCAGAACTGTAGGGAAAAAGCCCAACTGATTTCCCTTCCAAGGCTTTGGGAAAGCTGGAATATTAGATGGATAAGAGTTCCATGGAACCTTCAGTGATCCTGGGTGGGGATAATCCAATTTATTTTAATTTATTTCTAGAGGCATTTTGCCTGCAATGCGGAATGGTAGTGAGTTCCAGAAACCTGTTAAAGAGATGCTGTTCCCATATGTCCTATGAGCTCACTGAACATTGAGCCGCAGCCTGCCTGGGGCCCTTCTGAAGCGACTGCAGTGAAAAATCTTAACGAGGAAAGGAAACCCGTTACAGCCAGGGTCTGTGCTGCTGCAGCCCTGCCTGGGCTCACTGCCAGGCCTGCAGTGCTCTTGACCTGTCTGGGTGTTTCTCTCAGCTGCAGACACAGCCCCGTGGATCTTCGTGGGGGACTGCAGGGCTGGGGAGCCGAGTGTCGGTGTAGACACCCACACATGCAGCCTCACTGGCGTGTGAGATTCTTGCCTGCTTCTCTGAGTAGCATGTGTGCGTGAAGGAAGGCTCTCAAGCGGCTACGAGGATGCCGCTCCGCCCCATGTCCCTGGAGGGAGTGCTCAGCACAGCCTTGTCTTCTGTTCATTCTCGAGGTCGCGGCTGCAGAAGGCTTGTGCTCTGCAGAGAAGAGGGGGAGGCATTGCAGAATCATAGGCTGGCTGGGAGATGGAGGTGCCCCTGGGTGGTGCAAACCATTAAGTGGTTGGCTGCTGAGTCCACCAAGGGGCCCCTCAGAAGAAGGGCTGGGCAAGATGCTTCCCAAAGGTCATGGTCCCCTGTAGCTGGGGCCGTTAGACGCTCTTCCAGCTTGGAATCTGTCTTAAGCCACATTTAGACCCCAATCCCACTGTGGTTGGATTGGTTCCAACTCATAGCATCCCTCCTTGGGTTTCCAAGGCTGCAAATCATTACAGGAGGAGATTGCCGGTCTTTCGGTTAACATCCTGGTGCAGTTACGTATCACATCACTGATGCTGTTAGGTGCCATTGAATCGAGTGGGACTCACAGTGACTCAGTGAACAGCAGATCTCTGCCTTGCCCATCCTGTGCCAACCTTACAGTTCCGATAAGCTTGAGCTATGTCAGCTCATCTTGCTGAAGACCTTTCTCTCTAAACAATAGACGCGCCCGTTTTTGCCCCCCGAAGATCAGATCCGTAAGTCGCAGTGTGTCGTGAGTTGGAATTGACTCGATGGCTGCCTGGCTTGGTGTTTTGGGGGGTTGGTTGAGTCATCCATTCTGGAGCTGCCAGCGCACCCATAGTGCTGTCTTGCAGAAGCCAGACAAGCCCACCACCCTCTATAATCAGAAGAGACTAAGAGCTGGGCTGAGGCCCCGCACTCCCCAGCTGTAGCTAGAAGGTCTGGCCCTGGAGGGAGATCAGAAAAGGCAGAGGGAGTTTTCTGCTCTGGTTGACCCTGGCCTGTTCGGAGGCTAGTCCTCCCGCCCACCAGCTCCAGCTGCCAGGGTGAGGGTTTCCTCTGAGAAAGCCTGCAAGTGTTTATGCAGAAATGAGCTTGGTTTCCTGCTGGAGCCTCCTGTGCGCAGAGATAAAGACATCCGCCTTTTCTAGAGTCTGGGGCACTCGTGCAAATTCCCTCTACTTGGAGCCCCCCAGCAGCTCTGGGATGTGGCTCTGTCTCGAGCTGGGCACCTCCTCTCTCTCTGCATTGTCTGCCTGGTGACAGTGGTGGGCATTTGCTGGGGGGACATGTCTTTCCCCCTCACTGGGGAGCCTGGCTGGAGTAAGGGTGGGCCTACCTTGATGAGTCTCCCAGCTGCTGCTTGGGACCCCTTTGACCTGCCCACTCTCTCCTCTGTTTTAAGGTCCTCCTTCCTGTGCTCCTTTACCTGCAAATACTGTGTGTGGGACCCTCCAAAGAAATGGGTCAGAGCTTGTGCTCTGGGGCTGAGCCAGCCCAGCTGGAGGAGGACAGATACAGGCCTCCCCTGAGGGGCAGCCCTTGCTCCCTGGGCAGATGTCCACAGGCTGGACGGGGGTCAGACCTGAGGACAAGGGACTGTCCCCAAAGGAATCATGTCCACAGTCTGGACGGGGTCAGACCTGAGGACAAGGGACTGTCCCCATGGGAATCATCTCATGCCCACAGGCTGGATGGGAGTCAGACCTGAGGGCAAGGGACTGTCGCCATGGGGATCATCTCACCGGACACGTTATTCATACCCTAGGTCCACTCACATGCCCCCAAAGCTGTGTCCTCGAGGCTCTCCCATCCTCTGATATCTCTGTTACTTCTGTGGGTGAACGTTTCTCTTGCTGATCTGGGAATTCATCTCACTGCTGTCCAGTTGAAGCTGACTCGAAGCTGACCCTCAGAGGCTGTGACATCACACAGGAGGACATCTTCCTCTCTCATTGCAGCTGGTGGATTCGAACTGCCTGACTTTGGGTTAACAGTGCAACTCCTTACCCACTCGGCCACCAGACTTCCCTCTGGAGAACTAGGAAGGGAAAAGAAAGGTCAAAGGAGCCAGCTCACGTGGTCTAAGGAGTTAGGAACATGAGAAAGGAAAATCAGTGGAGCCTGCTTGCACACACACATCGTAGCATTGTCGCTCACACACGGATCACCTAGTTAAGAATTTTTGGTAACAGCAGCCAGGAAATCAGAAGACGAATTGCATTGGGAAAGTCAGCTATGAGGGACCTCTTAAGAGTACTGAAGAGCAACGACATCAGGCTGGAGACGAAGGTGCACCTGATCCACGCTATAGTCTTTGCAGTTACATGCTATGCATCAGAGTTGGACAATGAATAGAGTTGACAGAAAGAGAATTGATGCCTTTGAGCTGTGGTGCTGGAGAAGAGTGTTGAATGTACCATGGACTGCTAGGAAAACAAACAGGTTTGTCTTGGAGAGGGTGAAGCCGGAATGCTCCTTGGAGTCAAGGATTCTGAAGCCTCGTCTAACATAGTTTGGGCATGTTGCATGGAGGGACTGGTCCTTGGAGAGGGACATCATGTTTGGGAGAGTGGAGGGGCGGTGCAGGAGAGGAAGACCCTTGATGAGATGGATCAATTCTGTGAGTGGAGTGGTAGGAATGAGTGTGTTTGAGATGGCTAGGTTGGCACAGGATAGAATGGCGTTTAGTTTGAAAAAAAAAAAAAAAGAATGGCGTTTAGGGCTCTTGTACATAGGGTTTCTATGAGTCACAGGCGACTCGATGGCACATAACAACAAGAAGCATTTGTGAAACACAAACAGAAGAACCAGCAAAGGCCTGATATCAAAAGTGTATTTTCTTAACATCTAAGGGGCATGGTCTCAGCATCTAAAATCAACAGAGAACTAAGTGTGTAATGCTTTGCATCATCTGGGACTCTGCTCTGGACCCGGCAGCCCCCAGTGTAAGCAGCTCTGTGACTGAGGGGGGTCCCTGCATCTCATCGGCCCACCCGAGGTCCTAAAGGCTCCTGACTTGGGGCCCACCACACTGGCAATGCCCAAGGCGTGACTTCTGTGCTCTGTGGAGGGACCCTTCCCGAGAAGCAGAGCAGGAGTGGTCTTTCCTAAGTAAGGGGTGTTGGGCTTAGGGTTGGCTGTTCTCGGACAGGGCCTGCCCTAGGAATCTCAGACCTCCTCCCTTCTGTCTTGCAGGCGGGCCTGGCCTCCCCTGAGAACTCGGATCAACTCATCATCGCCCTGGAGCCTGAGGCGGCCTCCATCTACTGCCGGAAGCTGCGGCTGCACCAGATGATCGAGCTGAGCGGCAAGGCTGTGGTCAACGGGTACAGCGCCAGTGACACAGTGGGAGCTGGGTTTGCACAGGGTACCTCCTGCTCTCTCTCTCCCCCTCCCTCCTCTCCCAGCCCCTGCAAGGTTCTCCTTCAGTGCTACCCCAGGAGGAGGCGGGCTTAGGCATCTCTGTGCTCAGCCCCCTGCTTCACCCTTCTCAGGGCCCCCAGGGACTAAATTGAGATTATCCAGCTGGGTTTAGCATCCCCCCTCGTGCTCTAAGGAGTAGGGCGCTTCTCTCCAAGATCTCGTGGGTGGCCTGAGAACCTTTCTGGGCCCTGCTTTATTGTCCTAGTCTTTTAACCTCATCTATTAACTGATTCTCGATCTAATCCCACTTGCCTGTTATTAATTGCTCCATTAAGACTGTTGACTTATGGCTGACTCACTCACCGACTGCTTGCTTCATGTTAACGTTCTCAGTGTGTGCCTCACCCTGCAAGCCGCTGAGGGTGTAAAATACGGATAAATGCTTGGGAGTCGGCTGACTTCCCAGAGCTGGGGAGCACTCCCTGGGGTAAGGAGTGCTTTCTCTTCCCTAAGCCTCTGTGACCTGCGTCAGAGGAGAACTGTCGTATGTAGTTCTGCTCTGACATGCATGGGGTGGCACGTTGAAGTTGACATGATGGAGCCAAGTAGTAATGTGCAAGTTGCCAGCCCTCCCAGGCTCCAGGACTGCTGCTGTCTTGGAGACCTGGAGCTCTGTGGGTCTTTCCAGGGCTGATGAATTTGCAGATAGAGTGGCTGGGTCAGGGCCAGAGCCAGGTCAAGTTCAGTTGAGACAGGAACTGATAGGCAGCACGACTCCCGCCCTCAGCGATAGGTCGGTGTCCTGAGGCTGGTGGGCTTCAGCATTGTTCAGTGTTCTCTCCCTGTGCCGAGAGGAGTCCTGGTGCCAGTGTGGTTAAAGCACTCAGCTTCTCATTTAAGAGTTGGTGGTTCAAAACCACTGAAGACGAGGCTTCTGTGAAGCTTCTAGGCTCAGAAACCCTGTGGTGCAGCTCTGCTCTTCTACAGAGAGTTGCTGAGAGTTGGAATTGACTCAGTGGCAATGGCCGACAGATTTCCCCATGCCAAGGGGGCCTTTTTGGTGTGTGAGCCCCTCAACTTGTCCTCTTAAGAGCAGTGAGGCCCAGGGTCTTGGGCCTCAGTGCTGCTTTGCCGTTAGAATGTCTCCCCAGAAGGAGGGAGGGTAGGGCACCTGAGAGTGGACTTCCATGAACTTGGCTCCGGGTATGTGAGGTGTGAGGCCCAAGCTGGCTCCTGGCTTCTGCTGAGGGAAAACGGAGCAGGCCCTGCCCTGCCCTGCGCACCCTCCCAACAGGACTGCAGTTCATAATTTTACCCAGAGAATTTCCTATCAGGGTAGGGTACATTTGCCACAATACTGGATTTAATTTGCCTGAAAAAAAGGACTTTCTTTTTGAAGGCTCAGAGCATGTTTCATTTGCTTCACTTGGCCACTTTTTATAAGGCCATTTAGTTAGCCATCTGGATTGTTGTGGGAAACCGGATTCCCGCCTCAAGTCCTGTAAAATACATTCTTGGGGAGCCAGTGCTGAGAACCAGAGAGGAACCACTGCTTGAAGCTCCTGCCTAAGAATTTGGGGGTCTGTTAAATTGAGGGCAGTGCTTCCTGGTGAGCCAGGGCCCAAAGAACCCTCTAGAATGGGTCTCTGCAGCCTGCTCCCCAGAGAACTAGTTATTGCAAACATTCTGCTTCCTTTGGAAAGGATGCTGTACGAGGGTGCGTGCTATGACTGAGGGGTGTATTAAGAGGGATGTAATCTTTAACAGAGTGAGACCTCACAGCGGGTTATATGCTGTAACTAAGGTATAGATGCTAGGAATACATGACAGAGAGGAGTATGCTATCACTGAGGGAAAGGCATATGCTGTTGGTGGTGTGTTCCGTTGAGTCAGAATTGCCCTGTAGCTGGCCCTTCAACAGGTTTTCAGAGACAGTTAATTAACTGCATGGGAGGAGTTTGCTTGTCTTTCTGCAGAGCAGCTGGTGGATTTGAACTGCATGCCTTCGGGATTGCAGCACAGTTTCTTACCATTAGGCTATATACACTCCACAGATATACATGCTATAGTAGATGAACATATAATCAAGGTATATATGCTCTAACAGATATAAATATATATAACAGATACAGATATATATAAAAGATGTATATATATAGCAGATAGATATATGTAACATACATACATGCTGGACAGAGGGATGTATATCAGCAGCATAGGCTAAAATAGAAGGCTGTGCAGTAAGATATAATGGGTGTATATGTTATAATTGACGGATAAATAGCAGAGAGGTAGCTGTTCTGTAACAGGGCCATGTAACAGGTATTTATGCTGTAACAGAGAGCTATATACAGAGGTATTTATGCTGCAACAGAAGGACCACTCCATCAGCAGTAGCAGGAATTACTTTCCACAGCACTTTGTTTCTGAGGCCTAGTGCACCTGTAGTCATAAGTTGTTGAGTTCCATGTCTGTGTCTCCATTGTCACCTACTTTATGAGATGTACCACACTGGGCCCACATATCATCATTCCCATTATATAGATGTGGAGACTTAGCCCCAGAGTGGTTCAGGAATTTGCTGAAACTCTGGCCTCACCCAGCTGGTGCTGTCACATTGCACCTTTCCTGTCGCGTAGCTTTCCATTGTTCTGCAGTTTCCAACTTCTCCACAAGTCTTTAGAGCTCAGAGGCACAAAGGGATGCTGTCCGAGGGTTACTGTCGGGTGACAGGACAGTGTCGTGGGAACTGTGTGAGTCCCTTAACCTCTCCTGACCTGGTTTCCTCATTGGGATGTAAGGACAGTATTTGTGCCCTGTGTGCTCCACGGGACTGCTGGGAGGGCTGTGAGAGATAAAATGCGCCATGCAAGGAGTCACAGACACAGAGGACCCCGGGTTGCCGTCAAGGCCACAGCCAGGGCAGTGGACTGGAGCAGAGCTCGCCCTCTTGGCTGCATGGAGGAGGGAGTGCAGGGCTTCAGGAGGCCCAGATGCGGCTCCTTGGGCGTGGAAGCACCACCTGGTGTCCAACACACATATTGACAACTGGTTCAGAAAATAGCTCAGGTCCTGTTCATCACGGTCCAGATCAGGAGAGCATGCCTCACATTCCTTACAACAGACACAACTCCTCGGTGGAAATGTGCTTAACCGCGCACACTGCAAGTTGCTTGGCAGACAGCTTGCTTTCTGGGGCAGCAGAACCAAGAAATCGGTCTCTTTTATTAACCATTCCCAAGAAACTGTCATCAGAGGAAGCGAATCACATTAAATTCTTTTCAGCGGGATCCAGGCCAGAACTGCCATGCAGATGGAGGGACGAGGGCTGGTGGGAAGAACAGATTTCTTTGGGAAGAGCTGGCCTTGAAATTCCCGGTGTTGTGTTAATGAGCCGTTTTGATCAGTTATCCCTGAACGTCCCGTCCCTCAGCCTCCTCATGCTATCGCTTGCACTGACTGCAGCTGACCGTTGCTTTTTTTTTTTATGCTCTCTTACCCATCGTCGTTTTCTTTCTGTCGGCCACTAGCTAAGGAACACGTACGGCGTAACCGGCAGAGTCGGACCTTTTTGGTGGAGAATGTCATAGGAGAAATCTGGTCCGAGCTGGAGGAAGGTAGTGTCTTTTGCTCTTGTTGGATAATCTTGTGCTGTTGGCAAAAATGCATCCCTGTCTGCACCCTTTGCACTTTTGGAAACTTGCTCACCTCCGCTGGTTTGAAAGACCTCTCCTCAAGGGAGCCCTCTGCCAGGAGCTGGCTGGCTGCATAATCGTGCAGATTCTTCACGGGACACCTAGGAGGTGAATCTTGGCAGCTCCGAGGAAGTCTTTCGTTAAACAGTGGGTCAGTTCATGGCGTTGTAATCATGGCAGGGACTTGCCACAATGGACATGCCAGGTCCGCAGCGCTGGGACCGGAAGGCTTTAGTCGTAAAGCTTTACTCCTCCAAGTTCTTTAGCGTTCCTGCTTAATCCAGAGCAGACCTTCCTGCATTCTCTTTAATCACTAATAACGTCTCTGTGCTGCTAATTAGCAAGACCCTTGTACTAAAGGGAAAGGTGGTTTGTGTTTAGCTCAGTTTACTAAATCATCACCCCTCAGTGTGTTTCAGAATGGGCTTGATCAAGGCATCTATGGAAAACATGGCTGCTTGCTTTTATACCAGGTGACAAATATGTGGTTGTGGACAGTGGAGGTGGCACCGTGGACCTGACAGTTCACCAGATACGGTTACCAGAGGGACATCTGAAGGAACTGTATAAAGCAACAGGTGAGTGTTTCCCTCTGAGAAGTGCCCGGCCCATTCTAAACACTCAGTTCCACTGGTGTGAGGTTGAAGGCAGTAGAGAAAACTCTCGGAACCTGGAACAGAAAACCTTACAAACCTGCACTTAAACCTTCTTTAAGACACAAAGCGCCACAGCTTGGGTTTTGGCATAACGTGAGCCTGTTTTAGATCCTGGCCAAAGGAGTTTGTTTTGGAAATTCCTGGGAGGATGTGATTCTAATTGGATGCCACCCGTGATTTAGGTCTTACTAGGGAGGTCCGAGACCACCTTGTTTGGGGTCAAGATTGCCAAACCAAATAGCATGCTCTTTACCTCGGTGGGAAGGGGAGGGTAAGGCGTAATGAGAACGTCTCTGGGAACAGAGGCCACCGCTCATTTTCCTTGGTGTTCTTGGATTGGATTATTGTGATGCTGACAGCTGATTAAATGTATTTGTTTTATTTAACGTGTAATTGATGTTAAACAGGTTGTTGAGTAATTTCTAAAGAGGGGAAACCAGTTTCTTCACATAGAGTAAGAACAGCAAAGGGCTTTTAAAGATGTTCTGGTGGTGTAGCCATCAAAGGAATTTGACTGTTATCAGAAAGGTCAGCAGTTCGAACACACCAACCACTTGAAACAGATACAGCAGTCGGCTTCTGTAGACTCCCAGCCTGGGGGCGGTTCTACTGTGTCTTCCGGTGTCACTGGGAGTCAGAAAGCAACTGCCTGGCTTGTGCTAAAGGACTGAAAACTCTTAAGTAAATAAGGTGGGGATAGCTGCAGCCTGTGAGGCCGGGGGCTGTCAGTTCATGCTGTAACCGTTCCTCAGAAGAACTGAGCGTGCCTCTCAGAGCGTGGGTCCAGTTTCTGAGGGTCTCTAACATCATCTCCCCTTTTGTCTCGGACTCAGGTGGGCCCTACGGATCTTTAGGAGTCGACTTTGAGTTTGAAAAACTACTGTGTAAAATATTTGGAGAAGATTTTATCGAACAGTTCAAAATCAAGCGCCCTGCGGCCTGGGTTGACTTAATGATTGCATTCGAGTCTCGGAAGAGGGCAGCTGCCCCGGACCGAACTAACCCCCTGAACATCACCCTGCCCTTCTCCTTCATCGACTACTACAAGAAGTTTCGGGGACACAGTGTGGAGCACGCCTTGAGGAAGAGCAAGTGAGTGGTGCTCAGTGACGGCCGAGGCTGTGTGGGCGGGAGGGAGAGGCATGGACTCGGGAGCAGATGGCTTGGGTCCCGATCCCACACACTCGTGGGCTCTCAGACGAGCGACTTAGCTTTTCTACTCTTCAGTGTTTTCATCTGAGCAATATTCCATTTAGCTTGAAGGGTGTTTATGAGGGTAGAATGAGTTTGGAATTTGGTTCTAGACCCCAATAAGAATATCACAATAAAGCACGTCACGAGAATTTTTTGGCTTACTCAGTGCATGTGAAGACTGTGTTTACTCTGGTGGCTTAGTGGTCATGGATTGTGCTGCCAACCCAAAGGCATAGGGTTTGAATCCACCAGGTTCTCCGTGGGGAAAAAGGTGGGCACTCTCCTCCTGTGTAGTTTAGTGCCTCTGAAAACCTGCTGGAGGGTCAGGTTTGAGTCTGTTCTGACTTCACAGTACACAACACCACTACCACCACCGCCACCGCCACCACCATCACCATTACCACCGCCACCACCACACTCATCTATTTTACGTGTGCAAGAGTATTATGAGTAAGTGTGAAATACAGTGACTTAGCAAAATGTGACAGAGACATGAAGTGAGCGTAAGCGCCTGGAAAAGGTGCCCATAGCCTGGTTAACGCCAGATTGCCACAAACCACCCGTTGGTGTCAAGTGCACGATCTTTGAAGTACAGGCACAACCACAGTACCATCATCACACTTACAAATGCACAACTCTTCAAGCTCATCAATACTCTGTTTACTCGCTCACTCATCGCTGTGGGTTTGGAACTGACTCACCGCTGGCTCTCTAGCAGTTTGTCACAGCTCCAGGTGACGAGGAAGGAGACTGCCCATCTTTCTTCTGAGGAGCTACTGAGTTTGAACTATGAGACGTGTAGCCTTTGATTACAGTACGAGCCTCTACGGACTATGTCACAGAGCTCCCTAAATGACCCCATCTTTGTTGTTGTTGTGTGCTGTTGAGTTGCCTGAGACTCATAGGGACCCTATGTACAACAGCCCTAAACCCTGCTCTGTCCTGTGCCGATCTCACTGTGTCCGACACACCTACCCCCATTACCCTGGTCATTGAGTCAATCCATCTCATCAAGGGTCTTCCTCTCCTGCGCTGTCCGTCCACCCTCCCAAGCATGATGTCCCTAAGGACAGATCCCACCTTGCGACACGTCCAAAATATAGCAAATGAAGCTTCAGAATCTGTCTCAGCATCCAAACAAAGGCTATTTCTAGCCTTTATGCTATGTGTCTTCTCTCTTATTTAATGCACCATGTTTCCCCCCAGGAAACAAACAGGCTGTTAATGCGTGGTCTGAGAGGGACAGCAAGTGATCTGACTGCACACAGAGTCAAAATGGTGCTAATGGATCATTTTTCTCTCCTATTTATCCATGCAATCTACTAAATGAAGACAGTTATTTGTCCTGTTCAGTTTCCTGCAGTCTGAGGTTTGCTCCCTCCCGGTGTTGCATCACATGTTTTTCTGTCTTTTGGTATCCCCCCCCCCCTTTCAAATTGGTGGAAGGACTTAGAATCTTGATCAGCCTCAGATTTGAGTTTGGGGCAAGTCCCCATGAGCGGTGGGTGGTGGTTGTTACTGCATCTCATTAGGTGGTGATTATGTACCGCTGATTTGGAACCAACTCAGAGTTGACCTGCCAGTGTCATTTCAGAGGCAGGAAATAGTATGGGAGGAGACTGCTCATCTTTCTCCTGGCTTGTGGATTCGAACCACATGCCTTTGGATTGGTAGCACACTTCCTTACCACTTAGCCACCAGAGCCCCTTGTTACCTCATGCGACAGCTCATAAAGGCTTCCCTCTCCTCTTGTGCTGCTAGCGGCATTGATGAGCATTGCTTGGCTGTCTTAACTTTTTAGACTATCCTTCCTTCCTCACTCACTGCTCCAGAGTCAGCTCCATCTCATGGCTGGCCACCCTCCACTGGGCTTCCACATCTGTAGATTGTTTATGGGAGAAGAATGGTCATTTATTTCCCCTGGAGCAGTTGGTGGATTTGAACTGCAGACCTTTTGATTAAGACTTCAGCACTTAATGCAGGCCACAATGAGGGCTCAAATACTTCCAGAGAGAAAACTCAGCAGTTTAGTTGGCCCAGATTCAGTTCATAAAGGAAAGACAGAGTAAATGGTTCTTTTATGGCTTTTTTTTTTTTTTAATGAGTTGGTTTCCCAATATCCTCCAAAGTGATTAATGAGATGTTTTGTAGGTATTTTTTTGGTTGGTTGGTTGGTTTTGTTTTTTTTGTTTTTTATTTTGGTTTTTTTTTTTTTTTGAGAAAGCATGAGGAGAGAGGATCATTAAGAATTCTAGGATTTGAGTGGATTTCACGTATTTTAAACCCTAGTGGTTAGATCCCTATACATGCTCACACACTAGCTTGGGAAGCAGGATACTCCTCTGTCAGCTCTGAGTTCTTTTAACATGATGCTATTGGTCTTTGAAAAGGCCTTTTTGCTCCACTTTGTGAGAAAGTTCCAGGCTCATATTGTAGCCTCCCTCCTTGAGAACTTAAAAGTCTTTGGCCATTTTATTAAGATACTGTTTCCTTTCAGGAGTAACAAGCAGATTTGAACACAGCTCTTTCTGGCCAGGGTACAAGGTTCTAGCTGGGCTCTTAGGAGGCTGAGGTTTTCTCTGCCCTATTGGTCCCTCACAGAGGGCATTTTCTCAGAGCTAGACCCATCCAGGGGTGCCACAAAAGGCCTGGTGAGCAGCATCTGTAAAGAGGTCAGTCCCACATTGATACACATTTTTTTTTTACATTTGTTGAGTGTCCAAAGTTTTCCACGTGTTTGCACAACCATATTACTGAAATTGAACTTCGTGTTAACCCTTATGAGGGAGCTAAGACAAATAGTATTTTCTTTGCCTAGAGCACTCTGACTTCAGTTCTTCCAAGACAGGCGTTGTTTGTTCTGGTAGCCGTGCAAAGTATATTCAATATCCCCCTCCAACACTGCAATCCAAATACAGCAATTCTTCCTCAGTGTTCTTTAGCCTTAGAATCAGTTCAGTCCTGTTCCCAGGAGAGGCCAAAACTGAAGACAGAAGAGGTTATGTCTTTGCTCTTGAACTTCTCAGGGTGCAGGACCTGGCAGTTTAGGGAATTTCCAAGGGTGCTTTTGACTTTCAAGCCTGACCTGTCCCTGAGAGGTGACAGCTGAGCTGGGGCTCATATCTGTACACAGTGGAGTGGACTCGGGGGCAGGGGGGGGATTGTAGAACAATGAAAGAATTTCTCTTTCACTTTTCAAAGAGAAGAGCAAACTGGGAGAGGGAGGGGTGGGCAGGGAGAAAAGTACAACAATGAATGAATGGAGATCCAAAGTCTCTGTCAATTTTCATTAAATTTAATACTACTACTACGACTAATAATAATAATAAAAAGAGGCAAAAAAACCCAACAAACCCAAAGCAACCCACACCAGCTGTGGGTATTGTCCACATATTCACCACGTGTTTCTCTCCGTGCCACGTCCCAGTGTGGACTTTGTGAAGTGGTCCTCGCAGGGAATGCTGAGGATGAGTCCTGACGCCATGAACGCCCTCTTCAAGCCCACCATCGACAGCATCATCGAGCACCTCCGTAAGTATCTGCAGGGCTCAGCCACTGGGTGGGCAGAGGCCAGCACGGGGGCTGATTGTTTTTCTATCTTCATCAACCAGTGCTTGAGATGCCAGGTTGGCCAGTGGTCTGAGCTGGAGGCCCTATGTGGGTTGACCCAGGTACCCCCTTCTTGGCAACGCAAAGCATCAGCCATCAGCCCAGCTTCAGCTAGTCTTTCAGATTGGCTTCCAAGTCACAGAGCGGGGAGCTCTGAGGTGCTGATATCCGAGAGCCACCGGCCCGAGAAGATTCCTATGCTTTGCTTTTATCAGACAACCAGGGATTCTAATGTTTTCTGGAAAGGTGGTTCTGTGAACCAGAGGAAGATCTTCTAAGGAAGGCTACATAGTTTTCATGCTACCTCAGCGGTCCTAACCTGGAAGCACACAGTAGACTCACCAGTTGTTGTTGTTGTTGTGTACCACTGAGTGGGACTGTCCCTCCTTTGGGTTCAGAGGCAGTTAATCTCACAGGAGACTAACCATCGCTCTCTCACTGAGCAGTTCATAAATCCAAACCTTATGTCTTTGGGTTAAAAGCGCAGCTCCTTACCACTAGGCCACCAGAGCCCTTCTCAGTATCGAGGTTCCCCCACTCCACCCCCACCCCATCCACTTCCCACCAAAACAGAATCTCTGGGGTGGGACAGGATTGTCATGAAAACAAAATAGCAGCATTTCATGAGGCCGCTTTTACAAACCCTAGAACTACAGTGTGCTCATATATATGCAAACTAAACTGCTAAACCATGGAGTAAAAGCTGGCCCCGGCTTCCGTGTGGGGCAGCGATGTGCCTTTTGGGGTTTGGGTTTTTTAGAAGTCCTGTTTCAGGCCTTTCTTCCGCGGCACCTCTGGGTGGACTCCAGCTTCCAGTCTTCTAAGTGAGTGGCCTTGAAGGATTCCAATTAGTTCATCACCCTTCTCTTGTTTCCTGTACCTGCTTCTCCCAGCCAAGTCTCCTGGCCTGTCAATCTTGCCAGCTTCCTGATGGGGGTTCACCCTGTGAACTCGGAGAGGAGCTGCTCATTTTCATTTTTTTGGCCTTTTTTGTTCTTGGCCAGATGGAAGCAATGGCTTCCAGGGCAGGGGGAGAACCAGGAGTGGACCCCTTTCTCCCAGGTCCAGTTCTGTGGGCAGAAGTGGACCCCTTTCTCCCAGGACCTGAGCAGTTCTGCCCGCTACCCACCGGCCCCTGCCCACCGGCCCCTGCCGACCAGCCCTTCCCCGACCCTCTCTCCTCTCAGGCGACCTGTTCCAGAAGCCCGAGGTGTCCACGGTCAAGTTCCTGTTCCTGGTGGGCGGCTTCGCGGAGGCGCCGCTGCTGCAGCAGGCGGTGCAGAGTGCGTTCGGCGACCAGTGCCGCATCATCATCCCGCAGGACGTGGGCCTCACCATCCTCAAGGGCGCCGTGCTCTTCGGTCTGGACCCCGCGGTCATCAAGGTGCGGCGCTCGCCGCTCACCTACGGTGTGGGCGTGCTCAACCGCTATGTGGAGGGCAAGCACCCGCCGGACAAGCTGCTGGTCAAGGACGGCACGCGCTGGTGCACCGACGTCTTCGACAAGTTCATCGCAGCCGACCAGTCGGTGGCGCTGGGTGAGCTGGTCAAGCGGAGCTACACGCCGGCCAAGCCCTCGCAGCTGGTCATCGTCATCAACATCTACAGCGCCGAGCACGACGGCGTGAGCTTCATCACCGACCCCGGGGTGCGCAAGTGCGGCACGCTGCGCCTGGATCTGACGGGCGCACCGGGCACCGCACCTGCGCGCAGGGAGATCCAGACGCTCATGCAGTTCGGGGACACGGAGATCAAGGCCACGGCCGTGGACGTCGCCACCTCCACCAGTGTCAAAGTGGGCATCGACTTCTTAAATTACTAATGAGCCGGGGCCCCTTCCCAGCCACCTGCCCACGTGGACTCAGCTCACCTGCAGACCTCCGTCCTGACTGCTTTATCCCCCCCTTGACCTTGACCCTAGCCATGACCTCCCTGACTTCAGCGGCCAAGATGGGAATGCGCGGGGCTAGACATTTCTGAGGGCGCACTGGTGCGGGGAAGAGGTCCCCCAGTGATAAGAGGTGTGAAAGTCAGAAACTCCTGGCCCCTCGAGGAGTAACTCATTTTCACAGGTCCACACGTGCACACACACACAGCCACGCAAGGGAATCAGAATGTTTTTCACGGCAGGGATAGAGCTCACTTTGAACAGATCTCAGCAAAGCCCAATGCAGGCTGCCCTATTGCTTCCCTTGCTAGGTTTGAAAGGAGACTTTTGAATCAAGAAGAGCGCCTTCATGTCTTTGCAACTTCTCTTTTTTACATTTGTTTTGGGTGGCAGCCCAGAGAAGATGCCACCCATCTGCAGTTCATTTCTTTTCATCATCGTGCAATTCAAAGTGGTGACTCAACCAAGAAGCTGTGTGTGTCTAGCTGGTGGGAGATGGTGGCCTGACGCGGGACACATTTTAGCTTCTCACAGCATTTAAATTCCAAACAGCTTCAGTGGAGAAGCTTTGTAGACCATGGCCTTGACAAATCCACCAAAGTTCATGTGAGGAGAGCTGGTACCTCAGTTTTTTAGCCGCTAAAACCTTATTCAATGCAAGTGGATATTAATGAGAGCTGCTGACTTGCTCCAAATTATATTGTACAAGGTGATATAATTCCCCTGAATGCAAACCCTGATTCTGAATGTGTAACTGATTCTAATTACTCTTCTGACGTGAGAAAATGAGGTTACAGTTTGCCGAGTTCACACAGCAGTGACTCTGGAATGATCCCTCGCATTGAAGACAGACATTTCGCAAACTAAGCCCTCCTCCAGCTCACCCGCAGCCCCTACGAGTTGTGGTCATTCATTCCTGTGTTTCATCAGGGATGTTTCCTGAAGTATCTTCAGATTTTAAAGTCCATCCAGAAAGAAATTATAGTTCTAAACTTGATGAATTGGGCCAGCCTTTATTAAATTTTTTTTTTCTATTTCCCGAAGCAGGTTGGCATTACATCAGAATTGCCTGTGGGTGTTGTTATAAACAGATTTCTGGATCTTAACCACGTTACTAACTGGAGCAGAATCTTGGAGCAGGGGGCCCAGAGTCTGTCATTTTTTAAAGATACATCACAGTTCAGCTGAAAATTGAGAATCTTTAAATTTTGTTATGATGGGGAAAGGGGAGTGTGGCTCAGAGCCTACTTGTCTTCTCGTAAGGGTGTTTGTCTCATGTGGCCAGGCCGGTGGTCCACCCCTTGCCCTCTGGATCTGTGGGGCTTGGTCCTTGCCTGGCTCAGGGACTGGCACTTTTAACCCTTACTGGAAGGACATATGGAAGAAAATGATGGGGAAAATACTCTAGGACCAGGACTGAGTTAAGAACCAACTGGTAGGTTTGCATTCCCTCCTTCACCGCAATGCAAGGCTAATCTTCTCTAACGTCTCAACACCCACTGAGGAGAAAGAATCCAGGATCTGACTCACACAGTAATCCATCTGATCTGTTCAAAGCTGCCTTTCCACCTGCTGGAATTCATTCTGATTTTAAATTACTGGCATCATAGGGAATGAAGAGAGCATGTGCGAACGGACTTAAAATGCAAGTTGGCGTCACAAAGCCATGGTCATAGTTGGTATGCACATTTTCAGAATAGCATTTCCCATTTCATTTTAATAGCTTTTCTTTTCCACATTGCCTGCTGCCGCCTTCCCTACTAAAATGTGAAACACGACCACACCATCAAACTAGAGAATGCTGGTCACATGACAACAGGATTTCCTATCCAGGCACAAAGACGTGCCTGCTGGGGCCCTCCTCCTTGCTGTCTGCCCTGCTTCAAAAGCTAATTGTTCTGGGTCTTTCTTTGATGCTGCCAGCCATACTTTATAAGATAGAACTTTCCAATTCAGTTATGGGTAATATAATTTTGTGTACATACAATATTAGAAGAAAGTGTACAGAATCTTTATTTCTACAATGTGCTTTTTTCTTGTATATAAAGGGGGGAGGGAATGCCCTTTGGTTTTGTTAATGACATTGCTGTCCTTGTTTTCTATGGCTTCATTTCTTAATTTGTGCTCACTGATCACTGATTGGGGCTGGTACCAAGCTATGGACTATGGATGCAAGACATGAGTTCTAGTCAAGAGGTGCTTCGGGTCAGAAAACTCTTTGAGCTAATGGCCACCTAGATCTGCAGTTCCGTGAGACCCTTCTACATGAATAGCTTCCCAGAAGGGTCACAGTACTTATTGGACGGAGCATTGTCATGTATCGATTCTCGCCCAGCCTTTGAGAACAGAGTGTTCTGCTTCTGTAGAAAGTGTGCAGTAAACGCAATGAAAACTTGACAATCCTGCAAGGAGTCCACCTCTCCTGGGGGTGGAGGGACAAAGCAGCCCCTCGTAGAGCAAACAAAGTCCATTGCATGCAAAGCCTTCAGTGCACCAAGGCCCAAGGGAGGATGGAAAGTGTGCAGAAATCCCACTTTTCTGCTGGATTCACTAATAGTCAAGCCCTATATATTTGACTAATGGAAAACCTTCTCTACTTTGCACTGAAGATACTTCCTTACCTATTCCTCTAACTTAAAACGAGCTGGGTAAACTCTGCAGGGTTGCCTTGTAGATGATCAAGTGGGTGGTACTTTTACTGGACTTTCTTCTGGTCCAAGAAATACAACCCCAATAGCCAAAACTCCTGAAAGAAAACCTCACAATGTGTCCCCCTCCACCCACCCACTGAAATATTCTAGACTAAGAGCACTGGGGAAGTAGACCTGGACACATTTTCTCATCTTAGAGAATTTCTAGAAGGCCTGTTGTCTTGACTGATTGCCTCTGGCAGATGGTCTGATGTTTATGCCTTGGAAGGCGAGCTTTGAAGATTTCCTTAGTAACTGTCCTCCCTGGACTGAACAAGTATTTAAAAATGCTGACAGGGAGACAAATTATACTGATAGGAGAGAGGAAGGGAGGTACATGGCTGTGTTTTTGCAGTGAGTGCTGGCTAAGATGAGTTGAGATGACAGAGCCCGCCCTACCTTTAGAATGTTCTTTAGACCAAGTTTAGCTTTTAGCGTCCAGGCCTGGTCAGTTGCCAGGGTAGCAAAGAATCGCATGCACCAATATAAACAGGAGTCGAAATGCCTTATTAGTTGAAGATCAAATTTCACATTGCAGAGATGTAATTGCTGTGATTAAGCTGCATATTCATGCTGGGAAATGACAAGTCACTGACAAGTGTAAACAGTGTTGGCCACCACGTCCCACCTCTCATCTGCTTGGAATACAGAACTCTTCTAAAATAATCAGCCATCGAGTCTTGCTCACGACAAGAGACATTCACATGTCACAGAATTTCGCAGCAGTTTACAACTGGACAGGATTGTATCTGCAAACTCAGTCTTCACAATGTCTAATAAAGCAAAACTCTGGATCTCACGTGGCCCTTGGTGTGTGCGCGTGCTTTGTAAGAGGAGTTAGCATCCCTCGCCCTATCACAGATGGGGGATTCATTTTCATGCCCTTTTCCTGTGTGCTTTAAACTTTATTAACAGTCATTCCAACGCAACTGGCCCCTTTGTGAGAAGTGTACCATTTGCATGCTTGGAGCCCCTTTTCCCTTCTTGTAGGAAGCAGTCAAGCTGGAGAGAAGCTCTGTATAATGGGATGGCCAAGGCTAGCTCTGTTGCCCCCAAAGGACAGTCATAAAGGTAACTTAGGAGTCGGGCTTCCGGCACACCCTCAGGCACTCCAGACTGCCTGCCTGGGTTGATTCTAGTCTCCAGCTGAGTCACCTTCCAGAGGACACCTCTGGATGGCTTTGAGGAGGTTGCAGATGGTTTCTTTCCGAGGGGCTGGCTCCACCAGCCAGCTTCTAAAATTCAAATCTCAAGACAGTAGAGGTAGAGCAGGCTGGAAGGGACAATAAACGAATCCTACAGGGAAATAGGGCCCTGTGGGGGTCATCTGGCTCCTGGCCATGCTCTACTTCTGGAAAATACTTGGTTTTGGTTTGGTAAAGGGCTCACTTAGGACTAGTCATCCAAGGGCCAACTCACCCCTCTTTGTGGTTCAGGAGTCCTAATGGCCCCGAGGAGTCCTAATGGCCCCGAGGAGTAAGCATTTTCCTGATAACCGAATGGTTGGTGGTTCAAACCCGCACAGCAGCTCAGCTGGATAAAGGCATGACAATCTGTTCATGAAACAGCACAGCCTGGAAGCCCCTGTGGGTTGGTTCTCTTGAACACTTGACAATAGATGGTCACAGTCATACTGTGGGCATCGTGATGGGGGTTCAGTTGAATGAGCTGCGACTCAGCCCTCCCACCTCCTCAAAAACCCAGACTCTGATGAGAACGGGTTCTGACTCGGTGACGCTCCGTCAAGAGTCGAGCCTGTGAATCGCCACGTGAGGAGATAGTGCAGCTGGTGAATTCCAACCGCTAGAGACAAGAGTCTTGGTTGGCTAACCGACGCCCTGCAGACTCTGCCACCAGGACACAGTGGTCTGCAGGGCTGCTACTCAGGCGAGGGCGACCCCAGGTGGTTCAGAGTTAACTGGACCTGGTAGGATTTTCAATGGCTGAGCCACAAGGCTGGATGCATGCTGTGTGCTCCCTCCTCAGCCAGGTAGCTACCAGTCTGTGCCACCCAGGGCTCCTGGCATCTAGAGCCGGATCCAGTGGTGGCCTCTGGTGGTTAGAAGGGTGTGGACTGTAGGACTCGACTCTCCCGGGCAGTCCTTCCTCCCTTTGGCCGTCCAGGGTGGTAAAGAGTTGACTGCTGTTCCAGTTCAAGTTGAAAGTTCAAATCCATCAGCTGCTCCTCAGGAGAAGGACGGGCATCTCCTCCCCTGTAACTCACAGCCTCTTAACACCCGCTGGAAGGTCAGCGATGAGTCTGCTTCCGCTCGACTGTATATAACCACCACCAGCAACTCTTAACCCACCAAATCTGCTGCTTTCGAGTACATTCTGCTCATAGGCGCCTCCTATAGGTAGGTCTTTTAAAAATACATTAATATTGGGTTGCATACGAAATTCGTATATATTGTTTCATTCTTATACATTGGGTTTCACAAATTCCTACTCACTTTGTGTTTCATATGATAATTCATATGTATTTGTGGTTTATAAAACTAATCCCCATTGGTCTATGCTGACTATTATCGCGTCTTTTCAGGTCCCCACCGGCTCTTCCTAATCCCTTCACTCTCCCTCCACCACCCACTGCATTCACTGTCTTAGTGATTTCCTCGCCTCCCCTTTTTCTGCTCCCCTTTCCCCTCTGGACTTTCATAAGCGTCTTACTAGTTATCCTTCAGTTTTCACAGTAATGGTCTTATACAGTATTTGTCCTTCTGAGACCAGGTTCTTTCACTCAGCATAATGCTCTCCAGACTCTCCCATGTTCTCCAGCCTTTCAGGAAATCATTGCTCCTTGGCTGTAAATCTTTACTGGAGGAGGTTGCCTGTCTGTCTTTCTCCCAGGGAGCACCCAGTAGATTCCAACCTCCAGCCTTTTGGTTACAGGTCACACACTGGTAAGGCACAGCACAGCTGGGGACTCCCCGTTACCTGCTGGGATACCCAGAAAGTTCACTCTTTCCTAGGAGATGGAAAGTAGAGGGGAAGCTCAGCCCCACAGAGCGTGTTCTTGCCACCTCTTCCTGTCTGGGACCCTGGAATCCATGGCTGCTCTGCCCTACCCACCTGTCTCCCCACCTCCCAAACTGAGAGGCACCCTTTCCCTTGTGGGTGGAAAAAAGCTCTGGAGGTTATACCCCATTGTAGGATTCAGGGAGGTGCCCCTCCTGAGTCTCTGGTCAGGGTTAGGGTTAGGGTTAGGGTTAGGGTTAGGGTTAGGGCTGTAGTTGAAAGGATCCCACAGAAGTCCGGAACACCGCCAGCGATGAGCACACAAAGGCCTGGCCGGGAGGGGCTTTGTAAATAGACCTGGAAGCATCAGGAGTGAGAGTGTCGGGGTGAGCGGAAGTAGGAGAGGTCCCTGCCTTCTTCTTTTGACCCCTTTAGGGCTTCTGTGGAAGGATGTCTCTTCATCACCTCCGCACCATCTCCCCAGGCCTGCCTCCTTCAGGCAGCCCTCCTGGGTGTGATCAGCAATCTACCCAGCACCAGGTACCACCCTCCCCTACCTTCACCCTTTGGGGAACCAGAATCTTGCCTCTCAGGGTTTAGGAGGCCACACACCCAGCCCCTTCCCCATTGGGGTGGAATGGATTTGGTTTCTGAGGGTGTTCTTTTTATGGGAACAGACAACCACATGTTTCTCCTTCAGAGTATGATCGACTGGTGGGTTTGAACTGCTGACCTTCCCATTAATTAAGCTGGCCCGCTGAGCCTGAGGATCCCTGCAGACCTCCTTAGTTTTGTGAATTCTGGGAGGAGGTGCTTTGTTCCTTATTTTCCTCTTCTACTGGGGCCAGGGATAGGAGTTAGCTTTTATTTATTTTTTTTTAAATGTCCTCACTTTTATTTCAGATAACACTTAAGGCTGGCAATCAGTATTCATCCACTTTTACAATAAGAATATGTTTTCTATACGACACAGCCATTCTACTGCATAGAATATATCATAAGAAAATAGAAATGAGGAAAGGAGCTAGCTTTTAGGACAGCGGTACAGGTTAATCCAGGTAATGGGTCCCCCCCCCCAGGTCCCCCCACCTTCAGCAGTGTCCCACACATGACAAATGCCCTGTCAAGGTCTGATGTCATTTTTCTCCTCATTGTGAAATGGGGGTGATAAGGACTGTTGAAGAGGGTTTTAAGTACAGCTTGGTGAACACAGGGCCAGTAAGTGTTTATCTGAAGGAGCCTGTCAGAGGTGGAGGGAAGGGGGTTAACATGCTGGGCTATTAATGGAAATCTTCCCTCCCAGGGAGTCCACAGCCATTGAGATGTAGCTCTTCGGATGCCTGGTAGAGGTTACCCATGACTTTAATCAAGTTAAGGCCGTGGATTTCGTTTGTAGATTTTTGCAGGAGGTTGGGTTTTTTGTTGTTATTTTTTGTGGCGAGGGTGAGCTTGAGTTTAAGAAGTCCTGGTGGCACAGAGGTTACATGCTTGGCTGCGAACCAAAAGGTGGGTAGAAAGGTCAGTGGTTCAAACCCACCAGCTGCTTTGTGGGAGAAGGATGGGACAGGCTGCCCCCACAAACATCTCTGCCTAAGAACCTCCACGGAGCTCTGTGGGGCCGCCCTGAGTGGGAGTCTATTTGAGGGCTGTGGTTCGGTTTGGGGATCTGACTGTAGCACCAGTGCCCCTTTTCTGCCCAGTACCAGATGCCATGAGGCAGATGGGCACCAGGGCTGTTCAGTCCTCACTGCTTTCAGTCTTGTGAAGACCAAGTGGTTTTAACAATTCCCTTCATTGCTGGTCCAACTGGGGCTGTCACCATCCCCTTCATGCCCGAGGCCACTGTGGACACTTGAGAGATGAACTGACTCATCAGGAACCAGTGTGGCAGCACCACCTGATGCCAGATGCAGGCCTGGCACACTCTGAGGGAGCCCTGGGTGGTCTCTGAGGAGGGACAGGGTCTCCTGGTTGGGGGATGGGGCACGTCACATACACTGGTGCCATAACGGGCCCACCACCCTCTCTGCTCACTCTCTTTGGACTTCTTGATGGCCATTCTTGTCCCTTCACCTAGAAAATTCATTCTCACCCAGAGTGTGTCAGTGTCGCCACTCTTGACAGTTTGGGTTGGATGCGCCTTTGGTGGGGTGGGAACGCGGCCGTTGGTCTTTTTCAGGATGTTTGACAGCCTCCCCGGCCTCTACCCATTTGTTACACACCAGTGCAAACCTCCTTCAGTTACAACTGAAATGTTTGTAGAGAGTGACTGATGGCCCGGGGTGGGGTGTGGGCGAGAACAAATTCTTCCCTGTTGAGAACCATTTTAATTGCTCTTTCACTGGGTAATAGAAAGCCTCATTGCTCCTTTCCTCCAAGATTCATGATCCTTGCTGGAGGCTCCTGGTTGGGCTCATCTTTCTACTCCCCACCTCCGCCCCTGGTTGAGAGTCATAACGTGTATGCAGGCCACTACTGTTGTCTGGTTGAGGGGGTAAAGGGAAGGGTGAAGGGGGGCCTCAGGGACAGGAGAGTACAGCTATAGGTGATGGTCTGCATAACTGTCATTGAAATAGTTTGCCTTCAGAAACTCTATGAATGTGGAGAAACAATGAAAGTTATACAAGAATATTCAGGTCCAGATGTCATCAAAAAGATCAAAAGTATTTAGTTGTTTGAAATGAGGAAAGTTGTGTACCCTGAGAATATGAGAACTGAGGCACAATGGAGATTTGTACAGCAAAGTTCATAGCACCATTTTTCACCATCGCAACGGAATGGAAACAGCCCAAATGTCCAACCACAAATGAATGGATTGAGACATTATGGTACAATGTGAACACTATGCAGCACACAGGAACAATTAACTTTGTAAATTATTACCTAACTTGGGAGGGACTGGAGAACATTATGCTGAGTGAACTAACTCAGTCTCACAAGGAAAAATATTGCATATGACTTATGTTAGGATGAGTATAAGGGTCTAGGAGGGGTGGGAGAGGCTGAAAACAGAGGGATGTGGATGTGCAGGGGAGAAGGGGATTAATCATTGGGTTGTACAATTTTATGTGGGGTGGGGAGTGAGGGAAATCGAAAGAATTTGTTCAAAGTTGCATTTGAATTTTGTAAATAAACTAACAAAAAGAAGAAAAAAAAAGAATATTCAGGTCCTTCATTCATAGGGTCATTATGAGTCATCTACGACTCCACTGCACATAACAACATTGAGAGAGCTCTGTGGGCCTAGTGGATAGAAAGGCATGCTACTAAGCCAAAGGTGGGTGATTTTAATCTGTAGCCCTCAGGCTTGGTTTTTTAATTGTTTTCCGTCAAACATTCTTCTAGGTGGTATAGTACTGGTCTGTCCAGTTGTTGTGCAGAGGTAACTCATAGTAGCTTTGATGCTGAACACTGTGACAGTGATGTGTCAAATGTGATAATGGTTACCTATGGTGGACTGTATTTGGTGGAGCTCCCCTATTAAAACAAGCTTGGAAGCAGGAGTGGCATCCACTTCTGAAATAGTTTGCCTCCGGAAACTCTATGAATGTGGGGAAACTAAGAAAGTTATACAAGTGTTCAGGTCTTTCGTTCATAGGGTCACAATGAGTCGTGTATGACTTCACAATACTTAGCAACAACAACAAGGGCACCTTGGTCAGCTCATTGGTTTTATACTGGTTGGTACCTCCTGTGGTACCTACCACCTCAATCCCAATCTCCTAAGCCCTGGACCCCAGGGCTCTCACATGTGTGCAGTAAGTGTTGGATGTAGGGTCATGTGATGAGGCCTTATCATCTCCCCTTCCCTTCGTTAACAGAATGAAACCATGGAGTTTTCCAAGACCTTTATGAGAAACTTGCCGATCACACCAGGCTACAGTGGTAAGTGACCTGCAGACGAGCTGGGGCCTGGCCACTCTCCTCGTCTGACCCACTGTCTACTTCTGTCCAGCCAGCTGGCCAGTGCTCCAGCCTTTAAGGTGCATACTGAGATCACGCCATGGCTAAAGAGGGCTGACAGCTGAATTCTGATGAGTATACAGATGTAACCGAGGCCAGAGCTCCCTAGGCATAGCTGGTATACAGGAGGTACTTCATGAATGCGTGCTGAATGAATTCAGACAAGTTGTTAGTGGATGTCAATCCTTTTTTCCATGTTGAACTTTCTCAAGTCTAGTCAAAAGGCTGTTGTTAGAGGTCCCCAACCTTTCTATTTCCCCTAAAAGGAAGTGATCAACCATCTAGGTTTGGCCAGAATGGAAAGTCCTTTGCCCAGGAACTCCTTGCATAGCAAACCAAGACAACTGGTCACTCTATCCAAGGGCTTCTCCTCCATATACATCCGGGCTACTCAGATCTCATATCCCTGTGGGTAATAAGCCCAGTGGGCCTGATGGACTCTTAGATCTTGAATACAGCTCTGAGAATTCTCAGAGGGATGGTGCATGGGGACATCTCGAGGCTGCCCATGGCTGAAGAGGATCCTAGACTTCAGATTCTAGCAAACTGGGGTTCTGGTCTTAAGTGACCACTGTTGCTGTCACTGTAGGCAAGTGACTTAGTTCTCTATGTTTTGCCATATGTATTCTAGAAACTTAGTGGAGACATCCATACGGTTACTGTGAGACTCATGACATTGTTGTTCTTGTTCTTATGTTAACTTGAGTATGATTTACGGCAACACTCTGAACATCACATATGAACCATGTCCTCTCTTGTGTTCTGCTCACCATCTCTGACATATCTGAGCCCATTTCTGCTGTCTCTCTGTGAATCCATCTTGTTGGATTAGCATCTTGTTGGATTGGCATCTTGTTGCTGACCGTCTACCTTTCCAAGCATGATGTTCCTTTCTAAGGAACAGTGTCTCCTAGCAAGATGGCCAGGGTATGAGAGACAAAGATTTGCCCTCTTTGCCTTCAGGGAGCACTCTGGCTCCACTTTCTCCGAGACTTACCTTTATTCTTTTGACAATCCATGGGCATTGAATTCAGAACTCCTCTCCAACACTACAATGCAAAGGCATCAATTCGTCTTCTGTCATCTTGTTCGTTGTCCAGCTCTCAGATGTGTAGCAAATGTTTGAAAAGACCATGACCTAAGTCAGGTATACCTTAGTCTTCAAACTGACATCAATGCTCTTCATTATTTTGAAGAGGACCTTGACAGTTTCTCACTCCAGTACATCTCCAGATCTCCTGACTGCTGGAACCGAAGGTGTTAATTGTTGACCAAAGTAAGATGAAACCGTTGACAAGGTCAATCATTTCTTCCTCTATTATGATGGTGCCTATTGAGCTGATGGTGAGGACTTTTGTTTTCTTGATGTTGATGTGTAACTCATATTGAAGGCTTGATCTTCTGCAGCAAACACTTCGGGCCCTCCTCACTTTGAGCAAGCAAGATTGTGCCATCTGCGTAGGGCGGGTTGTTGATGACTCGTCCTTTGATCCTCACACCACAATCATCTTCATAGAATCTAGATACATAAATTATTTGTTCAGCATACAGACTGAATAAGTACAGAAAAGAGATACAACCCTGACACACACCCTTCCTAGTTTTAAATCATGCAGTATCCCGTTTCTCCATTTGGACAATAGCTTCTTTGTCTAAGTATAGATTTTGCGTGAGTACAATTAAGTGTTCAGGGATTCTCATTTTTATCAATTTAGTTTACTATGATCTATCTACATAGTGATATATGCCTTTGCATAGTCAATAAAACACAGACATTCTTCTGGTATTCTCTGCTTTCAGTTAGGCCCCATCTCACATCAGCAATGATATCTATCCCTGGTGCCATGGCCTCTTCTAAACTCTGCTTAAACTTGTGGCAATTCCCTGTCAATGGAATGTTCTAACCATTTTTCAATGATCTTCAGCAATAGTTTACTTTCATATGATAATAATGATATAGTTTGATAATTTCCGCATTCCGTTGGATCACTTTTCTTGGGAATGAGAACAAATATGGATCTCTTTCAGTCAGCTGCCCAGGTAGTTGTCCCCCAGATTTCCTGGTTCGTGCCATTTGTTGATGTTGTGTACCTTATAGTTGGAGCTGACCCATAGCTGACGCTCCGGTGGGTTTTTCAGAGGCAGTTGATGGCATGGGAGGAGATTGCCCATCCTTCTCCCACGAAGCAGCTGGTAGCCTTGAACCACGTGCATTAGGGATTGCAGCACAGCTTCTTGCCACTAGGCCACCAAAGCTCCCATTGTTGTTGTTATGTGCCATTGAGTTGCTTGCGACTCATAGTGACCCTATGCACAACAGCCCTGGACCCTGTCCTATCCTGAGCCAACCTCACTGTCTTTGACACACCTGCCCCTATTGCCCCAATCACTGTGTCAATCCATTTCATCCAGGGTCTTCCTCTCCTGCATTGTCCCTCCACCTTTCCAAGCATGATATCCTTCTCCAAGGACAGTCCCACCTGGAAGCATGCCTGAAGTATGTGACACAGAGCTTCAGAATCCTTGCCTCCAGACAGCAACTTGGTTTCACCCTCTCCAGAGTAGACCCATTTGTTCTCTGGGCAGTCCATGGTATGGTCAGTATTCTTCTTCAGCCCCATAACTCAAAGGCATCAATTCTTCTGTCATTCTTATTCGTTGTTAGCTCTCTGATGCATAGCAAGTAATTGTGATGACCATGGCCTGGATCAGGCACACCTTAGTCTCTAGAGTGACATCTTTGCACTTCAGCACTCCAGAGAGGTCCCTGAGAGCAGAGTTTGCTAATCCAATTTATCTTTTGCTTTCTTGGCTACTGCATCCAAGAGTGTTAATTGTAGTAGGTAGATAAATTTGTTGGTACATGGAATTATTACCAACACCATCAAAATTAGTTTAGCAATTAGATTCTTCCAGAAGGCATGTATTAACAAAGTGTGAAAACTGGACTTGGCTGTATTTATCCAGGAAGCCAGGCTTTCTTGACCTGGGACAAAGGCACACATAAAAGATATTTTTCATTCAATAATGAGAACTGTTTATTATTATTACTGAATTTAAAGCTAAGTTCTTAACCAGCTTTTCCTTGTCTGTTCTTTTTTTAAAAGAGGTTTTATTGTGACAATATTATAGTACTTAGGATTCAGCATCCAGTTTAAATAAATAGTTATGTTTTACTCATACTAATTGTAATGATTATATGCTATTCAGTAGGAGACGGTAAAAAATTGTTCCCGGGCAGGCTCTCACCGATAATGAGTTTACTTTTTTGTGTAATAGGCCTTTGCTTTTAATAAGCTGGTAATTTCCCGATGGTTCGACAAGAAAGATCCAAAATTGCATTTGGGAAGTGTCGGGGGTGGGGGTGGGGCAGATAAGCCTTCTCTCTAAAAAAGATGAATAATTTCAATTACTTCTCAGACTATCGTTTGGGCCCATTAAACGCTTTCACCGTTTGCCATTCTTGCTGACATCAGGGCTTTGCTATCAAAGAGTATTACTGTCATTGTCTGTTGAAATGGGCCTTCCCTCCCACCCCCCCAGTTCAGAGGTCCTTTCTGGTGGCCTCGGGAGGACCCAGCCACATGGAAAGAGACCACCGCGGTGCCTGGAGGAATGGTCTGTGGAGGGTGCAGTGATGATGGCCCGAGCAAGAGCTGGACTGTGGAGGCCACTCGGAGGCCCCTGCTGCCGGCGGTGTGGCTCAGGGCTGTGATTGTCGGCTCTTGCAGGCTTCGTGCCCTTCCTCAGCTGCCAGGGCACCCCCGGCGAGGACAACATGTCCCAGTGCCTGAGGATCTTCCGGGAGAAAACGCAGAAGTACAAAGACCAGCTGGAGGAACTTCGCTGCTCCGTGGCCACTGCCCCGAAACTGAAGCCTGTCTGCTCCCAAGAGTCACTCCTGCAAGCTTTACACGAGTACTACCGGCAGAATCACCCCATGAGTCTGGGTACCACGATCTGAAATACGCCCCTTTCTCCGGGCCCCAAGTGCAGATCCTGGCCAGCCCACCCAGCAGCTCCCAGTAAACCGAGCCCGTACTTGTCAGAGCTGAGCTGTGCTCCATACGGTGTGCATTAGGTGGTATTGTTAGAAGGAGATCACCAGTGCCTCCCTCCAAGGATCCTCGGCATGGATTGACTCTCCAGCCTTTCTGTTAGAGGGAGCGTGCCCCCAGCTACAAGCACCACCCAGAGAACGCTAACTAGCAGGATTTCAGATCCCCCGTGGGAAAGGGCAAAGGCTCAGTTTCTTAGCTGGAGAAAGAACCATGTGTCTGGGCAGAGGGACCGAGAGGCTGGGAGAGGTGCTGGTCTGGGACCTGGAGCCCCTCCCTGAACAAGTCACATAATCTTTCTGACAGCGTCTGTATCAGCGGTTCCTATTTTTCCAGTTGCTTTCTCTGTGCCAGACACCTTGATGTGATTAACAACCTAGAAAAACCTTAAGATGTCAACAGGGTTATTCCCATTTTACAAATGGGGTAAACAAAACTCCAAGAGGTAAAGTCACTACTCTGAGGTATGACCTGAGTATGACCTCCGAGGTCTCTGATGTCAGACCTGCTTTTGAACTTGGCTTTTGAGTTTGTAGTTTGGTACTGAATACCAATATCCCAGTGACAAGAATAGTGTAACTCTCTCTCACTGCTGACCCTCCATTAGGTTTCCAGAGGGGTAAATCATATGGGAAGAGATTACCCCTCTTTCTCCTTAGTATAAATATGTAATATTAATAATCACAAAGCAACTGTTACTTATACTATGGGACATTCATAGAACAGTTATTTGCCCTTTTAGATTTTAAAACCCATAGGAAAAGTAATTGGGTTACTGGTGGTGGTGGTGGTGGTGGTGGTGGTGGTGGTTGTTATTAGATGCCTTTGAGTCATAGATGACTCATAGTGACCCTATGAACAAAAGGTCTGAGCACTGTTCATAGAGTTTCTGGAGGCAAACCATTGACTGTTAGTGGTGCTGTTATTTTGTTTGGAATGGAAAATTTCAAGAACACATGAAAATATGAATGTTTGCTGGGCTTTTAAAATTTCCAAACCATTCAGAATAACGTTGGCTCCAGTTTGCCATTTCGCCCACTTTGCAGCGATTTGCTGTGTGATCTAAGTCAGGTGGCTTTCCCTCTCTGGGCTCCTGCTTCTTGATTGTGGACAAAGAAGGATGAATTAGATGCATCAGAGGGTGCCTTCCAGCTCTGATGCTCTGAGATTAGAGGGGACAAGGGATTAGTCATCTTCCATCATCTCAAGTGTCAAACTGAGTATCAGAAAGTGCAAATGACTTGACCAAGGTCCATGGAATCAGTCATCAATGAGAATAAGGGTCCTGATGTGGGACCCCTAGCCTGGCACTCTTCCTCCTGCCCTTAGTGAATGGGCACAGAGCACTGTGTGAAATGTTTTCATTAACCTGAGAGAGGAGGAGAGTATGTTTAGGATCGGGGACTTGGGAACCAGAGACCCGAGTTTGAATCCTGCTGCCCTCACCCCAGTTTCTGGCTGTGTGACCTTGGCAAGTCTTAGCCTTTCTAAGATCTCAGTTTCCTCTACTCCCAATTGGAGTAATTAAGGTACCACCTTCTCCTGGTTGGATGAGAATTCAAGGAGGTGATGCATTCTAAAACCCCTGCCAAGGTGCCTGGCACACAGGATCAATGAACCAAGTGTAGTGGCCCGATACTATCTGCAGGTGTGAGGGTTCACCATGGGCTGGCTCTCTGTTGGGGTGCCAGCTAATTTGGGAACCCTGCCTGCTGAGTGACTTCCCAAAGCCCTCACGAAGCATGATGTCGTTTTACAGAATGCAAAAATGTAAAGAAACCACTGGAGGAACCCCCCGTTCCTGGCTGGGCAGGCTACCTGCCCAGAGCCAAGGTCACGGAACTTGGTTGTGCCACGCGGTACACGGTCATGGCCAGAAACTGCTACAAGGACTTCCTGGACACAATTGAACGCACCAAGAGAGGGCGTCTGAAACCATACAAGGAGTAAGTCTGATTTGGGGCCATAAGTACAGTCCCCAAGGACAGCTGATTGTGTAATATCAAGGACAAGAGAAAGAGCAGAACCTGGGCTGGGGCTACCAGGTGTCTATTTGTGCCTGGTAATTTACAGACAGGACCTTGTTTTTAACTTGTGGACCTTCCACGTTGGTAGCCACTCTCTCCCCACTCCCAACCCAGCATCCTCGCCTGTGGTCTTTATTGGGCTGCAGAGAGGGGTCAGGAAGTGTAAAACCCCCAAAACCAGAGCAACAGGACTGTGAAAACACTCAGGGCCCCAGGGTGCTGGACAGGGAGCTACCAGGAGACCCGAGGACAGGTGGATGACTCTTGTGGCCTCAATTTCCTCCTCTGTTAACTGGCCATGATAATTATTTCTAGGGCAATTGTAAGGATTAGAAATAAATTTATCATACTTGCCATAGGACTTGCATAGATGGTGTTTTTCATTCTGGGTGTTAGGATTACATCAGGGTAACTAGGACTTTTGTTCTTTCTCTAGAATTTATGGAGTTAGCACCCCACAGCCTGCTCTGACTCCCTCTCCAAAAGTCGTGCAGCGTGATCAGCAACCACCAAAATACTGGAGTTTTTCGGTTCCATGTAAGGAAGGACATTTTTTGGTTCTCTCTCTGTGTATCCATAATATAGATAAAGTTCTAGATAGAGTTAACTTTACAGACTCAACTCGGAACTGCCAAGCTCGGAACTGACTCATAGTTGACCCTCCAGTGGGATTTTGGAGGCTGTAAATCACATGGGAGGAGATTCTCTCTCTTTGTCCCTGGGAACCACTGATGGATTCGAACCACCAGAGAGGCCTGACCTTTTGGGGTTAGCAGCACAGCCTCCTATAGACTGTTACCAGAGCCCCATGTCTGAACACTTACCTCATTTTAAAGAGCCCTCTGGTGTAGTGTGTTGTGTGTTGGGCTACTAATTGAAAATCGGTTTGAATTCAGCAGCTTCTCTGCAGAAGAAAGATGAGCAGTCTCCTGTCTGCAAAGATTTACAGCCTCAGAAACCTGACAGAGGGGCATCACAAGTTGGAATTTACTCGATTGGTTTAGTTTTTGCTTCATTTTATGGCATTTTGCTGTACTTTACCGATGATCTTTTTACAAATGTTTGACCACCTTGCATCCAGCATGTCTGTCAGCATCATTTTTCCAGCAGCCTGTGCTCCCTTCATGTCTGTGTCACGTTTTGGTTCTACCTTTTCTGTAACACTGTGGCATGCTTCATAGACTATGGTGGTGTTATGTTGGTATGTGTACTGACTCGTAGCTGACACTCCAGCAGGTTTTCAGAGGCAGTGAATTGCGCAGGAGGAGTTTGCTCATCTTTCTCCCACAGAGCAGCTGGTGGATTTGAACCACACACCTTTGGGTTGACAGCACAGTGCCTTACTACTCTGGTGGCCTGTGGTAAGGAGCTACGCAGCCAACCTGAAGGCATATGGTTTGAAACTGCCAGCTTTCTCTGGGGGAAAAAGATGGGCAATCTCCTGTGCAATTGCTGCTTCTGAAAACCTGGTGGGGGTCAGCTATGGGTCAGTTCTGATTTGATGACACAGAACAAGTCGCCAGAGCTCCCTGGATAAACATGACTTACATATTCACTGTTGTCATGTGCTGTAGAGTCAGAACTGATCTAAAGCTGACCCTCCAGCAGGTTTTCAGAGGCACTTAATTGCACAGGAGGAGACTGCCTATCTTCCTACAAAACAGGTGGTGGCCTCGAACCACATGCCTTTGGGATTGCAGTGCAGCTTCTTGCCACTAGGCCATGACAGCTCCTCTCTCATATTCACTAGCAAACAAAAACAAAAAGCTTTGCTTTACTTCCTGGAACTGAATCTATGGTTTGTTGTTGTATTGTTATGTGCCATCAAGAGGGGACCTGACTCACGGTTGACCCTCCAATGGGTTTTCAGAGGCCGTATATTGCACAGAATGAGATTGCCTGTATTTTCCTTTAGAGAAGCAGGTGAGCCTGTATTTTCCTTTAGAGAAGCAGGTGAATTTGAACCTCGTACAGTTAACCACTGCTAAATGAGACTAGTGCTGTTCTATATGCAGGAACATTCTTCCACTTTGCACATCACTCTGTCAATGTGCTGTATGAGGTGACCTGGGCTTGCTGTGATGCTGAACCTTGTGCCATGGCGGGCGTATCAAATACTAGAATGGTTTCCCATTATGGACAGTGTTTGATGGAGCTCCCAGTTTAAAGCGGGTTGGGAAGCAGGAGTGGCATCCACTTCCTAAACCACATGCCTCTGGAAACTCTATGAACCGATAGCTATGGAAACGCTTTAGGTCTTTTGTTCATAGAGTCACTATGAGTCGACCTGAACTCAATGGCAAACAACAACCACCACCACCTCTGGGTTGGTAGTGCAACTCCTTGCCACTTGGCCACCAGCGCTCAATTGTGCATCTATAGATATATATGACTTTCTATTTGCTTTGGCCTCTGGGCTTAGCTGGCCACTTGCCGCTTGCCGCCAACTCCTGTGGATGTTTCTGTTGCAGGTGGAAGCTGCCCTGCCTTTGCAGGACCCCAGGAAGAAGACTCCGTCCTCCCGCCAGTGGACTGTGGCTCCAGCCTGGTCAGCACAGGCAGTGGGACAAATTATATGCAACCGCTGTTCTCAGGCAAGTTTGCAGAAGGCTAGGAGTGTGGGAGCACGGAGAGCTGCGGGGGGCGCTCCAATGCCTGCCATCCCCACAGCCACACCACACCCAACAGACCCTATGTTATAATACAAGAAGCCTTTCACCAGCTGGCCCTGGATATCGTTAGTGATACAAACTATAGAAAGAAAGATTCCTTTTGGAAATTCACTTCCACACCGTGTTTTGTAGTGTGAATAAAGAGACTGCTCATCAGCATGTTAAAACCTCCTCAGAGGGTTTTCCCCCCACAGGTTCTGTTGACTTTCAGAAGAGCCACGAGGGGCCCCTTGTGCCGTGACTTCTAGGTCCCACAGACCTAGCTCTTCACGGAAAGCCTCGTCCACCCCTCCGGGTGCTCAGTGCCTGTCACTGTTTTAGCTTTGCTGAGCTGTTGTCACACAGAGTGCATGGGCATTCAAAGAAGTTCATTTTCTCACAGTTCAGGAATTTCCAAGAGCAAACTCTGGGGAAGAGCGTCAGCTCCGGGGAGACGACCTGCCCCGGCGTTCCTCACCTTCTGGGCGATCTTCACCTGGGACGGCTCTTTCTCCTGTCCTTATTCACATCCCTCTGAATTTGTTCTGCTGCCTTTAGCTCAAAAGTGGCTCCACCCTAGGAAATTTCACTGGCATAACAAGAAAACTATTTCCAGTGTGCCCTCCAGTCTGAAAGGAGTCATAGCGGACCCTCCAGCACGTTTTCAGAAGTTGTAAATTGCGTGGAAGGAGGGAGATTGCCCATCTGTGTCTCACAGAGCAGCTAGGGGACTTGAACCACCTGCATTTGGTTAGGCAGCAGGACTCCTGATTCCTTCCCACTAAGCCACCAGTCCCTGGAGGGACTGTAGTCACAAATATCATGTTGTTGTGAGCAGTTCAGTCAGTTTGGACACCAGGTAACTTCATGTTTAACCACCTCACGGGTTTTCTTGGGTGCAATCTTTGCAGAAGCAGCGAGCCAGGTCCTTCTCCTGCTGAGGTGCTGGAGGGCTGGACGGTTTGAACAACACCCCTTCAGTTAGCAGGCAAGCTGAACTCTAGCACCTATTTTGGGAAACACCATAATCCAATCTGTGTGTGTGTGTGTGTACCATCAGACTGGATCTGACTGGTACAGGAGAAGATTGCCCCTCCTTCTCCAGCAGAGCATCTGGCGGATTTGAACTGCGTGCCTCTGGGATTGCAGTGCAGCTTCTTGCCTCTAGGCCACCAGGGTTCCCTTCAGTCCAATCTTTCATCTTGGGTCCTTCCCGTCTCCATTTCTGGCTTTTCAGAATGCAGCCCACAGAGCCTGACAGGCACAGCTCACCTCCGTCACCATTGGCAGCGCTCTGTCCCAGCGAGAGCAAACTCACTCCCCAGCCACCAGCACCCAGGGGTGGTGAGGACAAAAACTATCTGGCCTAAAGACGCTGATAACTACTTATAGGAGTTTTCTCTAAGACTGACTGGACCTAAGTTTCTGTGGGAGGAAATTAGGAGATTTAGGAGCTTTGATGAGAGAAAAATGTGATCTTTGTTTTCACCAACCACCAAGTGAAATTTGGTATTTTCTTCAACCAGAAAAGTAGGCAACAAATCATGGTAATACTTGCTATCTTATCCCCCAACCACAGTGCTTTTCATTTCTGACAATATTTCCTGCAACCAAGAGGCACTGCTTTCATATCAGAGGAGAAAGTTATTTTTCCGAATCTTTTTTGGACAAATTAAAAAATACTTTTTTTTTGTTCCATCCTTCTTTACTTTCCCGATTTATGACTAAATAGTAGAGATGAAAATACAAGTGTTCTATTTTAAAAGTGGTGTTCTTGTTGTTAATTGATGTCAAGTCGACCACGACTCATAGCTTCCCAATAAACAGAAAACCTGAAGCCTTTCTATAACTATCATCGTTTCTCCAAGTTCATAGAGTTTCCAGAGGCATGTGGTTTGGGAAGTGGATGCCACTCCTGCTTCCAAACCTGTCATAAAACTGGGAGCTCCACCCAACACTGCCCATGATGGGTAGCCATTATGGTGTTTGGCACACCTACGGCACAGCTGACTTTTAAAAATAGATATATATCTGTTGTTGTTATGTGCCGTCGAGTCGTTTGCGACTCATAGCGATCCTATGCACAACAGCCCTAAACCCTGCTCTATCCTGCGCCAAATGCACTGCCTCTGACACACCCATCCCGGTTACCCCAGTCACCGAATCAATCCATCTCATAGAGAGTCTTCCCCTCCTGGCTGTCCCTCCACCCTCCCAAGCATGATGTCCCTCTCCAAGGACCCGTCCCTCCTGGCAACGTGTCCAAAGTATG